TGGTCCTCCGTCAAGTTCCTCCTAATCCTCCTATACGTGCAAACATATGATATTTGTCCTTCTCTGCCTGACTTATTTCGCTCAGCATAACACCCTCAAGGTCCATCCATGTTGCTACACGTGGCCAGATTTCATGGTTTCTCATTGCCATGTAGTATTCCATGGTATAGATGAACCACATCTTCTTGATCCATTCATCTGTTGATGGACACTTAGGCTCTTTCCATGTTTTAGCTATTGTGGAGAGTGCTGCTGTGAACATTGGGGTCCATGTGCCCCTATGCCTCAGCACTCCTGTGTCCCTTGGGTAAATTCCTAGCAGTGCTATTGCTGGGTCCTAGGGGAGTTCTAGTGTTAGTTTCCTTAGGAACCTCCACACTGGACACCTGGTTTATATTTTGGGTACTGAGTGCTGCATCCCTGGGAGGTACTCAGTTGTAGGAAGAAGCCCATTTTGTAGGTTTGATGTTGTGGAGGGCATTCAAGTTGGGTGTCCGTAGCCATCAAGCCATGGTTTCACGCTCTCCTGTTAATCAGTCATCTTCCTGACTCACAGGTCACTTTAGAAATCCTCCATTCGTTGGGCGCCTGGGTGGCTCATTGGCTGAATGTCTGACTTCCTCTCAGGTCATGATCTCACGGTTTGTGAATTTGAGCCCCTCATTGGGCTCTGTGCTGACAGTTCAGAGCCTGGAGCCTGCTTCGAATTCTGTGTCTCCCTTTCCTTCTGCCCCTTCCCTGCTCTCTCTCTCTCTCTCTCTCTCTCTCTCAAAAATAAGAAATCCTCCGTTTGAGGGGCACTTGGGTGGCTCAGTCTGTTAAGTGGCCAACTCTCGATTTCTGCTCAGGTCATGATCTCATGATTTGTGAGTTTGAGTCCCACGTCAGACTCTGCTGACAGTGCGGAGCCTGCTTGGGAGTCTTTCCCTCTCTCTCCACCCCTTCCTTGTGCCCCCCCACAAAGCAAGCAAACAAACAAACAAACATTTAAAAAAGAAAGAAGTCCTCCATTTGAGATACGACGCTGAACACACCTTCAAGATCCTACCGAAAAGACAGCAAAGGTATGTTAAATGTATCCTACAACTCAACAGGTCAGAAATCAAGAAAGATTGCCGTCAAGGACCAGAACATCTGAGGAATGTTTAGAAGGGAGAAGGCGGAGGGTCAAGATTGGATGCAGATGGAGGAGCGATCATGTACACAAGCCTTCATCTACCGCTCTAGACTTCAGACACCATACGGAAGAGGTGAAAACATTTAATCACACTGCTGGATCCTAAGCAGAGGCTTTACCGGTGAACCTGAAACAGATGTGGGATTGGAGGAAGTGGGCCGTTTCAGCCTAAAACACGGGAGGAAGGAAGTGCTTCCGCAGGGAAGGAAGGGCTCTGAGGAGCCTGGGGGGAGGGGCCCTGGCATTCACAGACTAAGGGCTGTGCAGGGAGGGCTTTGTGTGAGGGGGAGGGTGTATTCAGGAGTGCTCACTTGGGGCTTCAAAGGTGGCATTCACCTTCTTTAAAAAAATTTTTTTGGGGCGCCTGGGTGGCTTAGTCGGTTAAGCGTCCGACTTTCGCTTAGGTCATGATCTCGCGGTTCGTGGGTTCGGGCCCCGCGTCGGGCTCTGTGCTGACTGCCAGCTCAGAGCCTGGAGCCTGTTTCAGTCTGCGACTCCCTCTCTCTCTGACCCTCCCCTGCTCAAGCTGTCTCTCTCTCTCTCCTAGAAATAAATAAATAAATAAAAAATTAAAAAAAATTAAAAAAAAATTTTTTTTAATGTTTATTTATTTTTGAGAGAGAGAGACACACACACAGAATCTGAAGCAGGTTCCAAGCTCTGAGCCATCAGCACAGAGCCTGATGTGGGGCTTGAGCCCATGAACCATGAGATCATGACCTGAGCTCAAGTTGGATGCTTAACTGACAGAGCCACCCAGGTGCCCTCCCCACAACAAATCACTTTCTTTTGAGCAGGGGAGGAGGGGGGGGGGAGTTGGACGGGTTGGGGAGGTAGGGGGGTGGGCCTCAGCAGCAATTCTGAGCATCAATCCAGCATCAATCAACTTTCGCATCACGTTTCCATTTCCTCTCTTTGACAACTTTCTAGCTGTGCCCGTGAACTCCATCCTCATCTCTGCTGGCAAGAAATTAGCCCTTCTCTCGGTTTCATTTCCTCAGCAGGAGGTTGCCCAGAAGGAGAAATGTGTGACTCAACTACTTCCGTTTTCATGTAATAATTTCTGTCATCCCTTCCGAACTTGATCTTCTGCTTCAGAATCTCAGAAATTAGTGCTGGAACCAGCATCTCCACCTGTCAGGACCTAGAGCTTTCTACACACCGGGTCTGTTGGCTTTGCATAAGCTCTCAGAGCCGAGAAAACAAAGAAAAACATTTTTCTTTGTTCAGCAAGAAAAATGGCTTCCTTGTTTCTTGCGGTCATCCGACTAATACAGGCTTATTGCAAAAAAAATGGATAGAGTCAGAAAATTTAGAAAAGTATAAAGATCGCTTGAAATGTGATGATCAAATACACTCACTGCAAACCTTTAGGCTTCCAGGAAACAAATGCTACAAAATGCAATTAAAGAGAACTTGCTGAGTACAGTAAAATAGAAACAAATATGTGGGAAAAATATGACAGAGGATGTGAAAGACCCGTGCAGGGGGATATTATAATAGTTACAGTGTCATTAAAGATGATTAAAATTAAAAAAAAGACAATTAAAATTAATGAGGAGAAACTCCAAGTTCATGGATGGGGATTCTTAAATGGAACATCGATATCTTTCTTCCTAAACTAATTCATGTAATTCCAGTCAAATGCTTCCCCATATTTTGGGTGGAACTTCACACACTGAGTATAAAATTAACATAGAAATAGAAAAGACCAAGAGAAAGCTTTTATGTTTTTTTCCCTTTAATATAAGATTAAAAAAACTGTTTACTTAAAAAAATGTTTATTTTTGAGAGAGACAGAGACAGAGCGTGAGTGGGGGAGGGGCAGGGAGCAAGAGAGAGACAGAATCCGAAACAGGCTCCAGGCTCCGAGCTGTCAGCACAGAGCCTGACGCGGGGCTCGAACCCAGGAACCGTGAGATCATGACCTGAGCCGAAGTCAGACGCTTATCTGACTGAGCCACCCAGGTGGCCCCCCATTAATATAAGATTTATGTCTTATTACTCGTTAATAGTAACCATGATTTCCAGGAGACTCTGGTGGATTTACACAATTTAATTGCTTTCACTGTTGGAAGCAGAATAATTGGGGTAAGTGTACTTGGCTAGAAATATAGTGTAAGGTAAGGGTCCAGTTTCATTCTTTTGCATGTGGGTATCCAATTCTCCCATTGCCATTTGTTGAAGACCTATCCCTTCTTCGTTGTGTATTCTTGGCAAGTTGCTATACGTGAAGCAGAGGCCACACAACAACAACAACAACAACAAACAAAGGGGCTACAGCAAACTGAGAAGCTTCCACGCAGCAAATGAAACACTCACCGGAGTAATAATGCAGCCCATGGAAAAGCAAAAAATATTAGCAAACCAGAAATCTGATAAGGGGTCATTTGCAAAATTATAAGGTGCGCCTACCACTCAATAGCAAAGGCACTAATAACCCAATTTGAAAATGGGCCCAGGACTTGAATAGACGGTTTTCCAAAGAAGACACACAAATGGCCAAAAGGCGTCGGGAAAGATGCTCACCGTCACTCATCATCAGGGGACTGCAAATCACAACCATAAGCTATGACTTCACACTGAATAGAATGGCTATTCCCGCACAGACAAAAGACTCGTGTTGGCGAGGAGCTGGAGACAGTGGAAACTTGTGCACTGTTGGTGGGGATGCAAGATGGTGCAGCCGTTAGAGAGAAGTATGGGAGTTCCTAAAAAAAAATAGGGGTGCCTGGGTGGCTTAGTTGGTTAAGCGTCTGACTCCGGCTCAGGTCATGATCTTGCAGTTTGGGAGTTTGAGCCCTGCGTTGCGGCTATGTGCTGACAGTGCAGAGCCTGCTTCAGATCCTCTGTCCCCTCTCTCTCTCTGCCCCTCCCCTGCTCATGCTCTCTCTCTCTCTCTCTCAGAAATAAATAAATAAAATATAGTACTGCTGTATGACTGATATGGCTTTTCAATTAATCCACTGATGACTGTAACATTGTGTATAATTATGAAACACTCTCAGAAGACAACACAAGTGGATTTTCCACTTAATTGTGGTACAGTGCAATGCAGCCTTTCTGTGGATAGCCCACACCTCCGGCTCAGCATAGTGATAACTTCGATAAATGTGACAAAGCAGGTACCCAAACCAGGCAGGGAAGAAAATCCCATTTTTATAAAAATACCACATACATAGGGAGACAGGGAGAGTCAGGAATAGGAATGAAGAGACACATCCCAAATTTTCACAGGTTGGAGGAAGGGACCATGGAGTGTTTTTCTTTCTTTCTTCCTTCTTCCTTTCCTTCCTTCCTTCCTCCCTTTCCTAATTTCCTTCGATTTCTTTATTTTGCTAAGGTTAAAGACAATAACCAAATAACGTCATGAAAGGAGAAGTGACATTTGTGGGTTCGAGCCTTGCATCGGGCTCTGTGCTGACAGCTCAGAGCCTGAAACCTTCTTTGGATTCCGTGTCTCCCTCTCTCTCTGCCTTCCCCCACTCATGCTCGTTCTCTCTCTCTCTCAAAATAAACATAAAAAAATGTAAAACATTATGCGTTGTCAAGCAGGTGACATTCTTCCGTTCGTGTGTGTGCACTAAGTCTCTGAAACCAATCTTGCCTCACAGCGCACGCACACACACCTCGACTTGGACCGGCTGCATTTCAAGGGCTCAATAGCCACATGTGTCTGGAGGCTACTGGATCAGACAGGGCAGTTCCAAAAATTTTCCTAGATAATCAGAAGTGTAGACAGCGGATGAATCAAAAATGCTGGTCCTAGGATTATTTGTAATTGAAAATTAGAAGGACCCAAAATGCCTTAATGTTACAAGTTTCTGTGCAAATGTCCACCTACGAGACAGGCATTTCTGTCCCCTTTGTTCACCTCTGTGTTCCCAGCACCCAGATCAATGCTTGGCGCACAGTAGGCACTCAATACATATGTCTAGTTGAATTGGTTCATATAAACACACATATGACACCAGATATACTTTTGGTGAGATTTGCAGTGAATAAACATCCAACACACGGTATTTGCTGTTCTTTTCATTGTTATTGATGATAAATTGGACTAGAACTCTCCACTAGGAATACAGGATACGGTTCTGCTTGTCTCTGAGAGAACATGCTCAGAGAACAGGCCGGGGGAGGGTGGGGTTGCAGGGAAATGTTATCTATGATGGGAGAAAGGCCAGAGACTCGGGGAAGGGTGGGGGCCAGGAGACCTGGGCTCTGGTCTGAGGTCTGCACCCACTCGCTGCTGGCTTTGGGGGCCATCTGGATCAAGGAACTTTTCACGCCGCCCCCAAAACGAGGGGGCTGGTCTGGATGATTCTGGAGACCTTTCCCCTAAGGTCGGCTGGCATTCAGAGGATGGCACACATCCAGTTATCTGCCTCCTGGGGAGCCGACGGTGCCAGGCTGGTGCCGACGTGCTTAGGGGCTGCAGGGTGGCATTCGTAATCATGGTACTGATACGTCCTGGGCTCACAGGTTGCCCAGGTGTAGTAATAGTTTTCTTCAGGCTAGAAGGACAAAGCACATGATCACATTGGAGAGCTGGTCCTTCTGCCTTGGCACTGGGTCTCGGTGAGCATTTACAATGCCACAGGTCACCTGGATTCCCCTGGAGAACAGACGAATGAGTCTCGGGGGCTGGGAAGGGAGCAGCGGACAGACCCCTGGCCTGCAGGGCTGCAGAAAGGCCAGTGTTCAAGGCGACGCCCCTCTCTGAGTTGCCCCCATTTAGTGACTGGTCCACGGGGCGGGGAGTCGAAAGAGCTGACCACGCCAGACTGCGGCAGGGCGACCGCGAAGGCCCACGGAGCTCCAGGGGGAGCTGGACATTGGGGCGCACGCCAGGGCTTCTTCCTGTGCCCGCACCTGCTTCCTGCCCCTCCTTTCCCCACGCATCGGCTCCAATGGTTCTCCCCTAAACCATTCCTGCACTTTATCTCGGAGGCTGCTTCCCGGGGAACCGCCTACAACATCATCGATCCCCACCAGGAGAAAGACCCCTGCCCTGGGGGGTCTTTCTGCCTCTTCTGGGCTGAGTGCGCGCCCACGTCCCTCAGCGGGGCTGAGATTCCCAGGTGTCCGGCCACACGTATGGGGATGCAAGGCCGGGGCGTAGCACGGAGGGCCGAGCACTGGCATTGGAGCCCGCCGAATTTGGATCTCAGCCCTACAACCCCCGAGCTCAGCATCCCGGAGCAGGTGACTGAGCCTCCTCCTCTCTTAACGTGAGATGGGAGCAGCAAACACACCTCAAAGGGTGTTGTTTTAATGAGAGAACCTAGCGATTCGTTTGGGACAGAACCTGAGCCCCAAGCAAATATTCCATAAGCAGTGGCTGTTAGGGTTCATTATTATTCACAGAGGAAGAGCCCACTGGGGCTGTTGAAAGACTTGCCTCTGGCCAGGGTAGTGTTAACTAAAGAATGAACTCTGGACTGGGCTATGCAAACCCCAGGAGCGCCCTGAGGTGGGGCTCAGACGACCGAATATACACAGTGTGTCCTGAAACTATACGACTATGTGAGACTGACAGCAAGAGGCAGTTTCTTTGGAGAGAATGTTCCGCTCCCCTCGTGTGGAGGGGGCGGGGGAAGGACAACAGAGAGGAAGCCGAGAATCTCACCTGCACGTTCCAGAAGCCCACTGGAGACCCGTCCCCTCTGATAAAGCACGGGTAACTCAGCCAGGCTCTGGCCTCTGCTGCCAGCCGCTGCCAGCTGTATAGGTCTCCACCCGCCACATTTCCTGTAGGGTCTGCTGGATCCAGAATCACAGGCCTGGAGAGGGACAGGGAGCCGGGGACAGATGAGGAGGTAGGGCTGTGTCTGGGGGACGCAGACCCACCTGGCAGAGCGAAACGCCAGCTTGGCACAGCCTGGGACCCTGGGCGCCAGAGGGGGCGCTGTTCCCCTGGGGGGCGTGTCCTGAGTGCCCTGCTCCCTGGTGGGTGGCGGGTGGTGGGTGGGGAGAGAAGCCAGGGCCTTGGGTCTGACAGACCTGGGTTTGAATCTCACTGCTGCCTTTTGTTAGCTGTTTGCTCTTGGGCAGGTCAGTTGGCCTCTATTTCCTCATCTGTAAAATGGGGACAGCAGAGCAGAGGATGCCTGTCTCATAGGACATGAGGTGAGGATGGAGACAGAACATGCGGAATGCTCTGCACAGGGCTTGGGGCATAATAAAGGCTCAGTACATGTCAGCTCTAACGCGACCATAAGTTTTTACTTACTATATCAGGATGCCTTAGTCTTACTACAAGCTCTTCATCCCTGGGAGCAATTATTATTACTGCTGTAGCTGTTGTTATTTTAGTTCAAATGCCAGCTATTTTACTCTTTTTGTTGTTGTTGTTGTCGTTAAGGGTTAGACAAACTCCTTACCTCTCGGAACCTCAGTTTATTCATCTGTAAAGGGGATATATAGTGCCCGCCCCACAGGGAGGGAGGCTGTTGTTTAAATCAGATGGCAGTGGTAAAATGCTCCGCACAAGGACTGGTCAGAGAAGATGATTCTTAAGTAAGGAGCCCTCCCACTTCCTCCGTTTCCAAGGTGCCCCAGCGGTATGGGGCTGGGGGTGGGGCTCCTTTCTGCAGGAAGCTAACCCCCCTCCGTGTAGATAGAGTACCTGGGTTTCTCAAGCTGTCTCATCAGGTATTTTGCAATGATAGCGTTTTCAAAGTTGTAATACTTTGTCCAGTAGACGCACAGCTTCTGGTACTTCAGGACTAATAGCAAGACGGTCTGAAACCCCTGCGCTGTGCTGAAATCCGTTTGCTTGTTTCCGCGCTCCCAGGCGTAGACAGTCAGGAGCTCCAGGGCGTACTGTGGGGGGAGAGGCTTCCCAAGCTTCTCCTTACACTGAGGAGAGGAGAAAACAATCTGAAACACGCACTGGTCCGGCTGGGGTGCAGAGCACATTTCCCAAGGGCCAGATCCAGCCTGCCATGTGCTGTTGCCAATAACGTTTCCCGGGAGCAAAGCCACATGCGTTCAGTGGTGTGGAGCCCATGGCTGCTTTCCTGCTACAAAGACAGAGCTGAGTAGTTGTGACAGAGACCGGGTGGCCCCCAAAGTCTCAAATATTTACTACCTGAGGCATTTCGGAAAAAAAGTACTGAGTCCTGGTTGTGAGCTTGAGCTCTGGATTCTGAACGACGTGGGTTCGAGCCCTGGGTTCACCAGTGTCCAGGTCCAAGAATACAACTTCGACTCTTGGAGCCACATGATTCTTACCTTTCAGGTGAATGGTACTAACACCACCAGCCTCATAAGGATACTGTGAAAATTAACGGAGAGGAAGAATGTGGAGTGTTCCTAAGAGCCAAACAAAATTCCCTTCGGAGTACAAGGTGTCAAATGATTTCACAAATAATTTAGAAGTATAATGACCTGCACATAAATAACCAGGTACACAAGGAAGCAAGACACCAAGAGTAATAACCAGTAGAATAAAGAGAAAATAGTAATAGGTCTGCAGAACATTTTTTTAGGGAAAATATTAAAAATTTTTTATATAATTTTTTAACTATTTATTATTGAGACAGTGAGAAACAGAGCACGAGTGGGGGAGGGGCACAGAGAGAGGGAGGCATGGAATCCAAAGCAGGCTCCAGGCTCTGAGCTGTCAGCATAAAGCCCCAAGAGGGTCTTGAACCCATAAACGGTGAGACCTGACCTCAGGTCATGACCTGAGCTGAAGTTGGATACTTTACCGACTGAGCTACCCAGGCACCCCTAAAGAAATTTTTTTTAAAGTTTGTTTGTTTATTTTGAGAGAGACAGAGACAGCATGAGTTGGGGAGGGGCAGAGAGAGAGGGGGAGAGAGAGAGAATCCCAAGCAGAATCTGCACTTCCAGCTCAGAGCCTGATGTGAGGCTTGAACTCACGAAACTGTGAGATCATGACCTGAGCCGAAAACGAGAGTCAGATGCCTAACCGACTGAGCCACCCAGGTGCCCCGGTCCACAGGACTTTAAATATTGAAGGATCAGATATAGATTTTGAAGTGACTAGGAACATTATGGTTAAAGAAATAAAAGAAGAGCGTGAAATAGAGAAAATCAGAAGCCATATGAAGTGACATGGCATATTTGAAAACAAATAGAAATCGTAGCACAAAAAATTACAATAACTGTAATTAATAAGTCAAAAGCAAATAAGACACATTTAAGGAAAAATTAGTGAATTGGAGAGTGTATTAGAATAAACTATCCAGAATAAAGCATGGAGAGCCAGAAAGATGGCAAATATGGATGAGAGTGTAAAGATATAGAAGCAGAATGAAGTGTAACATACATTAATTGGAGATCCAGGAGGCAAGGAAGAGAGAGAAACAGTTTTTTAGGAGAATAGCTGAGTTTCCAAAACTGATGAAAGATATCCATTCACAGATTCGGGAATCCCAGTGAACTCCAAGCAAGACTAGTGAAAAAGGAATCATCATTAAGACACGTCAGATTGAAATGAAACAAAACCACAGATAAAGAGAAAAATATAAATGCAGCCAGAGGAATAAGACAGATTACCTACAAAGGAGTCACAGTTAGGCTGACAACTGACTTTTTACTAGCGACACCGTTAGATGGAATGATGTATTCCATGTATTGAACTGGCCGCCAGCCTGGCAAAAATACCCATCAACAACGAAAGTAAAATCAAGACATTTTCAGGTAAACAGAAACTAAGAGTTCAGGGGCTCCTGGGTGGCTTGGTCGGTTAAGCGTCCGACTTTCGCTTAGGTCGTGATCTCGCGGTTCGTGGGTTCGAGCCCCACGTCGGGCTCTGTGCTGACTGCCAGCTCAGAGCCTGGAGCCTGTTTCAGAGTCTGTGACTCCCTCTCTCTCTGACCCTCCCCTGTTCACGCTGTCTCTCTCTCTCTCTCTCCTAGAAATAAATAAAAATCATTAATAAAAAAAATTAAAAAAAAAAGAAACTAAGAGTTCATTATCACAACACAGTCAGCAAATAACTCTTCAAGGGGACATACTTCAGGAAGAAGGAACGTGATCCCAGGGCAAAAGTTAGAGACGTAGGAAAGAACTGATAGTAAAGAACGTGGTGAAAATGTGGACAGATAAAATGGGCACTGGCACTGGAAAATAATTGTAATGCTTTGAGGCACTTGAAAATACAGAGACTTGAAATACACACCACAAGTAGCGTGTAAGTTGGAGATGGTGATGGTGGTAGTCAGTGGCGTCAAAATATGGTGAGGTTCCTGTATTGCTCTACAGGAAAGGAAAGAAAGGGAGAGGGGAAAGGGAAAAAAGTTATGGAGGAAGAGGAGGGAAGGAGGAGAAGGAGGGAGGGAAGAAGGGAGGGGGAGAGGGGAAGGGGAAGCAGGACAGGGAGGGAGGGAGAAAGAGACAATTTTTTTTGCAGGACTCTCTTGCTCATCATAAAACAGCTAGTATCCCTGGCTTCCTCCCACTAATTGTCAGTAGCATCCTTGCCCCTGATCACCATGGTTACCAAAAAGCGTCCTCATGAATTTTCAGTGTCCCTGGGGCCAGTGTTACACTTTTGTAAGTTCTAAAATGCTCAGGCGTGTTCCTGATCAAATTGCCTAGATCAGCAAACGACGATGTCCCGCCAATAAATGATTGCCTTGTTTTGCCCTGAAGATTACTTTCAAGTAGGAAGGTTATCCTTAATTACTTTCTTTCACTCAGTTACGCATCCAAAGACATACACGTCTATTACAAAATGTATATTATCCATTAGGCAAAGTCTTAACTTGGAAGACCCAAATTCAAGGGTTTGTTCTGCTCCTTAGTAGCTGAAAGAGCGATCTGACTCTTATTCTCTTTCAGTAATACAGGTTTGATAAGCATGCCTACCCTTGCTCAGCTCACAGAATGACCATGAAGATTAAATAAGATACAGGATATTTGAAAGTAAATGGAAATGCATATCACATCCACAAAGGCTTAAATATGATGCGCCTGGAGAAGATAGACACATACTACACGCTAACTTTTATTACGTGTGCAGCTCAAAGAAACTGCATTTATTAGGACCAAGCTATGCCAGGCATCATGTCATGAGCCATTGCCATGTCACCCTTTGCAAATGAGAAAATAAGAAGCACAGAGAGGTTAAGTTGATGGCTCAAGGTCAGACGGCCAGGAAGTGGACAGAAGTGTGCGTGCGTGTGTGTGTGTGTGTATGGTTATAGCATTGGTTAGTTTAATCAACAATTACTTACTGACCACTTATCATGTACCTGGCACTCTTCTAGGTTCTGGAGATACAGCAGTAAAGAAAACCTAAAAATCCCTTCCTTCGCCTAAAAATCCCTTCCTTCGCGCGCGGTTTTAGGGGGAGAGACAGACACCAAACAAACACATAAGCAACTGCAAAGGCCCAAAGGCTGGGGCAGAGTTTTGCTCTTGGAGGAAGGACACGGAAGGCAGCCTGGCCTGAAGGGCAGAGATGGGGCTTCAGAGAGGCCAAGGGCAGATGCTGGAAGCCTCGCAAGATGTCTGGGACCCAGGGGACAGTGACAGAAGTGGTGACAGTTAATGAATGATGGGTATATTTTAAAAACAGGACAAATGCCATGTGGATGGAGTGAGTGTGTGAAGAAGTGAAGGCAGACGCTTGGGCCAGGCCAGTAGTGGGAAGGACGGGCTTGCCATGTCCTGGGACGGGACAGACCTGGGTCCACTGGCACCTGTCCCAGGCGCTGCCTCTCCCCTTCCTAGCCATCCCCATCTTCCCCGCTCTCTTCTCCTTCTCTCCGTTCCACACAGCCCCTCCTCTCCCTCCCCTCCTCTCCTCCCTCCCTGTGGGAAATAGGTTCAAGAATTCCTTATACTTACATTAAAAAAAGCTTAGGGCAGAAAGCCGCTGGTTCAGGGCGAAGGCGCCCCGGGTTAGTTAGCGAGATATTATAATGAGATCACGAGTAACTTGTTACAGGAAAGGACTTTGCATCTGGCGCCAATACGCTACTGTGCTCTGACCGCAACTTCAAATGCCACTGGTCCCCCAGACTCTGCTTCTCACACACACACGTTAATGCTTTCTGTCTGATTGCTTTGCACGTTCACCACGTGTGATCGGTCTGGAGAGCTCAGTGAATACGGAGACGAAATCCCTGTTCGGGGCTCTTGTCTCCGCCCCGACATCAGCCTCTCTCGTTTTCATTTCTGCGTCTGCTCTCTTGCTGGATAAGCCAGAACTCCAGATTCCTGACCTGTGACCACGCCTCCCCTCCCCCGCCACCCCCCCAGCTCCTCTCCCCCCTCCCCTTCTCTCCCTCTTCCCCTTCTTCAGCCCCCCAGGTGAGAGGAACATACCAGCTGGTACCAGTGCTTCACTAGGCGGATGAGGCTCTTCACCTTGGCCGGACGCTGCTTCAGGAAGTCTCGCTGCAGCTCCGTGAAGCAGGTGGAGAACTCTCCCTCGGTCTTCAGGTTCAGGCACTCTTGGATTAGGCTGACATAGACTTGGGGGTCAGGTCTGTAGATATTGGTCCACTGCCCTGTTAGGGACAAATGCATAACTTTAAGATGTTAGCATATCTGACGTTCTGCCAGCCACTCCGGGGCTCGCCGGCCGCGGGGTGCAGCACAGGGTCAACAGGCCCAGAGCAGGGGCGCCTGAAGTCCACCCCAGCCTTCCCTCCTCCCCTCTCTACTGCCGCCACCCCGTCCAGGCTGCCATCGCCTCTCCCAGATATATGGCAGCAGCCTCCTCACTGGTTTCTTCACAGCCCTTTCTCGACCCAGCACCCAGAGAGGGCTTTCAAGACCAGCTCACAGCGCTTCTTGCTTCCTGCAACATCCAGAATAAAACCCAGTGTCCCCACAGTGGCCAATGAAATTTGCTGTGGTGTCATCTCCTACCTTGATCCCTTGCCGCTTACACTCGGGGCCTCTATTTTCTTCCTCAAATATGCCAAGGTCACTCCTGCCTCAGGGCCTTTGCACTTGCTGTTCCTGCTGCCTGGAGCTTCCCATGGCTGCCTCCTTCTCATCCCTCAGCTCCGATGTCACCTCCTCAGGGGACCTTCCCTCATCACTCTGTCCAAAAAAGCCCCCCNCCCCCCCCCCCCCCCCCCCCCGCATTGCTCTCCACTGTCTCACCCTGCAGGAATCATTCCACGTAACTTGTTTCTATGCTTGTTTTCAGGCTCCAGCACACAGGTTACTCGTTTGCTCATTCGTGGCCAGGGAGCAGTGCCTGGTACGCAGTAGGCGCAAGGGATAACCTGTGCTTATTCTTGTGGATTCATTGTCTCCCAGACTCCAGTCTTACCTCTCTTCGCACCTGCCCTCCACACTGCCGTTGCACTGGCTTCCTAAAACACAGATCTGACCAGGTCACTTGCTGTTCAGCGGTGCTCAGAAGTCCCTGACCAAGGAGGCAATCAGCTCCCTCTCATGCCCTCTCTGCCCTCCCCGCTCACGCCCTGTCCCTCCCCTCCCCCTCCCTGCCTTCCACCTCCTTCCTTGACCTCCTCACTCCCTGCCCTCCTCACTTCCTCCCTGCCTCCTTGCCTCCTTACCCTCACCCTCCTCAGTGTCTACCAGTTACCCCAACACTCTTTTCTAGTGCTGTTCCCTCTGCCCGACACACCCTTCCCCTCCCCTCTTCTCTCTCTCTCCCCTCTTCTCTTTGTGTAACCGTCGAATGCCAGCACCCAACACCTGACATGGCAACAAGGAGACGTTCCCAAACTTTCTCATTTCCTGGTGCCTTTAGAGCTTCGATCTTTTTCTCACTGGTCCCTCCGCCCAATTAGAGTTTCCTGCACGTAGTTCAGGCTGTACCACTGAGTCGCAGTCGTTTGTGTGGCGTCCAGCAGGTGTCAGTGTGTTTCCCTCAGAAGTGTAAAATCTAGGGGCGCCTGGGTGGCTCAGTGGGTTGGGCGTCCCACTTCGGCTCAGGTCACGATCTCACGGTTCGTGGGTTCGAGCCCCGCGTCGGGCTCTGTGCTGACAGCTCAGAGCCTGGAGCCTGCTTCAGATTCTGTGTCTCCCTCTCTCTCTCTGACCCTCCCCTGCTCACGCTGGCTCTCTCTCTCTCTCTCTCTCTCTCTCAGAAATAAATAAAACATTAAAAAAAAAGAAATGTAAAATCTAAACTATTCCATGTGCTCCCTGTGAGTTTTTTCACTGGGGCGTCCTGGGGGGCCTTGGTGCACAGTTGGGGAACTCACATTCTTGAATACCTACTGTGTGCCAGGCCCTGCGTGAGACCTTACTGTGGATGATCATTCAATACTTAAATATGACATATAGGCGGCATGGTCTTAACCAGTTTTCCTAGTGTGGAAAGCGAGCCTCTGAGAGGCGAAGCATCCTGGCCAAATGTCTCTGTAAGTCGTCTATTGATTCCAACCCTCAGCATAAGTTTGGCAAGGTTTCCTCATGTTTGGGGTAAGAGATGAAATTCACATATTGACTGTAGGCGGGTCTACACTGCCTCACTTTCAGAAAGCTACAATATACGCGCTTTGCCCCAAGTAGAGCCCGCAAGCCTGGAAGGTGTCCATTTAAGAGACGTCCTGTCCCCCGATTGTGCCAATTTGTTATCTAATGTCGCTCCTGTGGCCGGTCATGACCTGATTCATTCTCAGATCTCTACCCGCCCTTGAAGGGATGTCTCCAATGGCAGGAAATTTCTGATCAGATATATGAGAAAAGAAAGAAGCTGTGGTGGGACACAGGTGGAAAGCCTGTTGCCCGTGAGAGCTCACTCAGGACGTCAAAGGCAGGCAGGACATCAAACTCCACCCCTTCCCGGAGCTGGGGGGACCTCAGCACAAAGCTCAGGGCTCGGGGCTTGCTCCATTGCAGACTCCGCACTTCAAACTGCACGTCAAAGATTTCCTCTTCTTGACAGGCTTCCAGCTGCTTCTTAATTTCCAAGATGAACGTTCCCCGGTTATCAAGCTGCTCCTGAAAACTCGTGAGGTTACTCAGAAAGACCACAAGGTCGGCGTCAGATCGGCTTCTCAGGGTCGTGCCTTTGCCTGAAGAGCCACCCTAAAAGAGATGAGGAGAACGAGAATGGACATTTACTGAGAAGGGAGGGCCTCCCTAAATAAAATGATGAGAATAATCACTAACATTCTAGAGCATGAGCCATTTCTGAGGGCATCGCCAGCCTTAACTCCCATAATGCTCTTGAGGCTCTATGACTTATGCACCTTGTGACGAGCTCCCACTTTACAGACGGGGAGACAGGGGCTCAGAGATGACACAGTGGCCCTGTAACACAGCTCGTAGGTGGCAGAGATACGATGTGAACCCCGGCTGTCTCGTTCTACAGTCTGGGTTCTTTACGCCCTAACCTTAACTGTCTTATTATATCCTGCAGACCGGCCCTTCCTGCGTGGCTTACACACATTATTTTACTTAATCTGTATACAGCCCTAGAGCACTGGGAATGATGGGTGAGGAAATTGAGTCAAGAGAGGTGAAAAGTCTTGCTCAAAGTCTCATGGCCAGCAGGTGCTATCTGGTTTCAAAATTTATACTCTTTTTTTTAAAAGTTTATTTATTTTGAGAGAGCACATGTGCATGTGTGTGCGCATATGCTTGAGCTGGGGAGGGGCAGAGAGAGAGAGAGAGAGAGAGAGAAAATCCCAAGCAGTTTCCGTGCTATCAGAGCAGAGCCCAATGCGGGGCCTGAGATCATGATCTGAGCCGAAATCAAGAGTCAGAAGCTCAGATGACTGAGCCACCCAGGCGCCCCTCAAAACTTACACTCTTAACCAGCTCATGATACCATAGACATGGTGCGTCCCCATTGCGGATGGGGGGAGACAGGGAACCCTCATACACTGTTGTTGGGAATGCAAATTGGTGTGGCCACTGTGGAAAACAGTATGGAGGTTCCTCAAAAAATTAAAAATAGAACTCCCATATGATCCAGTAATTCCACTATTGGGTTTTTTACCCAAAGAAAATGAAAACACTAATTTGAAAAGATGCATGCAATCTTATGTTTATTGCAGCATTATTTACAACAGCCAAATTGTGGAAGCAACCCAAGTGTCCATCCATAGATGAATGGATAAAAAAATATGGAGTGTACACACACACACACTGGAACATTACTACACAACCATCAAAAAGAATGAAATCTTGCCATTTGCAACAACATGGATGGACCTAGAGGGTATCATGCTAAGTGAAATAAGGCAGACGGAGAAAGACAGATACCGTACGATTTCACTCATGTGGAATCTAAAAAATCAGACGAACAAAGAAACAAAAAATAGACTCAAAAACAGAGGACAGACTGGCTGCCAGAAGGGAGGTGGGTGGGGGGCATGGGTGACGTAAATAAAGGGGACTCAGAAGTACAAACCTCTGGTTACAAAATAAATAAATCACAGGGATGAAAAGTACAGCATAGGCGACAGTCAATAATATTGTAACAATGCTGTGGGGTGACGGGTGGTGGTTACATTTATCATGCTGGGCACTGAGGAACATACACAGCTGTCGAATGAATACATTGTCCACCTGAAACTAAGATCACATCCTATGTTAAAAAGAATCCTAGCTCAACATGGAAGTTGAAAAGCTGAGCAGCTGTGGAAGCATCTAGTGCCTGGACCCCCTTCCTGGACCCCAGAGCGGTATCCGGCTCTGTTTTTGCGGAGTATATGCTTTACAGGGGGCAATACCAACAGCATTTCAGCCACACAAAATCATCGGAACATTTAGCTGTTGTTGGCTGGAGAGGGGCTCTGGAAGTCATTTTATCAGGGGAAAAAAAAAAGCAAACACAGCCCCCAAAGCGTATAGCTTTTAAACAGTTCATGATACTGCAGAAATGGGGAGTCCCCCGCCTGGCCACTAATTAGCAAATTGTTTACTAGAGCTGGGCCTCAGTTTCTCTATCTCTGAAATGGGCGTGGCCAACCATGAGGGTTCATAAACTTCAGCCAGGGCATTTGTTTAAAAGCTACAGGTGAAGGGGGGAGCCTGGGTGGCTCAGGTCATGATCTCATGGCTTGGTGGGTTCGAGCCCCGCATGGGGTCACTGCTGTCAGCGCAGAGCCTGTATCAGATCCTCTGTCCCGCCCCTTCTTTCTGTCCCTCCTCCACTGTGCTCTCTCAAAAATAAACATTAAAAAAATTACAGATGGAGGGTCTCACCCCAGAATCTACTCTGACAAGCTATGGTTATACTTGTTTGCTGCGGAGAAGTCAGAAACCACCAGCCCCAAAGACCTTAACTTTTTGCTCTCTCTGTCTCTGTGGGGTCTCTTCCCCCTCAACCACCCCTTCCCCAGTCGGGCAGGCTCGGGCTCACCTTGACCACTTTGGTCACCCGCACAGGGTGGAGTGCACCTCGGAAACACCTCTCCTTCAGGAAACTGGAGATGATGTCCACCGCTTGTCTGACCTGCCTGCGGAAATGCGTGTCTGGCAGGAGATTGTTTTCGATGAACTTGTCCAGATACTTGGCGGGGGTATCTTTGAGGTCGTGCCCCCACATCATATTCAGGGCAGGGACGCGGAGAGCCTGTGATGTTGTGAAACTGCTAACCTCCGTCTAACCCCCGGTCTGAGTCAGTTAGTTTCGTTTCCTTGGAAGGGAGGAGCTTAGGATAGCAAACCGCCTCCCACCAGCCATCCAGAAACCTACCCTCTGGCCCTTTAAGAGCATCAGACCTTTCTTCAGACTGTGCTGTGAACCTGTTGCTTTTTAACCCCCATTAGTATCTCGCCTGGGAGAAATTATAATTAGAAACCGATTTGTGGTTTCCTGCTTCGTCTTTGTTGTTGATGGTGACAAGATTGTTTTATAGTCTCTTGTGAGCTTCATAGCAGTATATGCACATTATAAAATGGAACAGAAGCCAGAAAAATCAGGATGCAGAAAGACCATCCTAAAACTCAAGAATGAGTGATCCTAAAACTCAAAAATGGCCACCATGAAGGCTTTGGTATAGATCTTTTCAGAGATGTTACTAGGTTAACACACACACACACACACACACAGCGCACTCGTGGGAGGGAGTGTGAATGGGGGAGGCGCAGAGAGAGAGGGAGACACAGAATCTGAAGCAGGCTCCAGGCTCTGAGCTGTCAGCACAGAGACAGAAATAGGGTTGAAACTCATGAACTCTGAGTTCATGACCTGAGCCGAAGTCGGAGGCTTAGCCCATTGAGCCACCCGGGTGCCCCCTCCTTTTTTTTTTTTAAATGGCATCATACGGCATATATTTTTCCTTTAGACTAATAGGCTTCATTTTCTGCAGTGGCTTAACGTTTACAGAAAAACTGAGCAGGAAGACCTCCCGTAACAACAGCGCTCCGACCAGCCTTAGGGATAACTTGCTTCAAGCTTCCGCACCGCACCCCTTGCTTGCTGACGTACCTCCCTTGGTCTGTGGCAGAACTTACTTTTCCTGAAACTTGCGAACCACCGGCCCCGAGGAGAGAAGGACACAACTTTCCCAGGGATGAGGCTGACCGAAAACAGCCGCCACGGATGCCAGCAACTCTGTCCAAGGTCGTATCGGTGTCCGACTAACCGCCCAGACAGCTGCTTCCCCTGCCCACAGCCCTCCCGCCCTCTCCCCCTGTCTTCCCCTTTAAAACCCTCTGGCTTGGCCCGGACAGGGAAGATGGTCTTTGAGACATTAGTCCACCAGCTTTCGGGTTCGAGCCCCGCGTCGGGCTCTGTGCTGACAGCTCAGAGCCTGGAGCCTGCTTCAGATCCTGTGTCTCCCTCTCTGTCTGCCCTTCCCCTGCTCCTTCTCTGTCTCTCTTTCTTTTTAAATGAACGCTAAAAAATAAAAGTGAATCTTTTCAATATTAAAGGAGCTAAGTTTTGCTAACAACTGTACAACCCTGTGTATTTGCCTCTCAAATCTCCCGCTGCCACCTTGGTTAAATAAATATTTAAATATTAAGCTTTACGGTAATCTGTAATCCTACTTAGGCCTGTGCTTCCAAACCTCTTGGTATTTTTAACAAATTTGCCCCCAATTCACATTCTAAATAAAGTCTTTTTGACTAATTAGGCGTGTTCATTCGATATGTGAGGTACACGGGAAGCACTGCCAAACAAACATTGGTAAACTTTCCTCGGTTTTATTACGCGGGCAAATGCCATGACTGTTCCAGAAGTTAGATAAAATTCCTAAAATTTTAATATGTCCTGGTATAATGTCATCACTTCAAGCACTAATTGTGAAAGTGTGTGTGTGTCACAAAAATAACCCTATTTCCTTGTCAGCTGCATTGGAATAATCTCTCATCAGATTTTTTAAATGTTTATTTATTTTTGAGAGAGAGAGACAGAGCAGGAAGAAGGGATGGGCAGAGAGAGAGGGAATCACAGACTCCGAAGCAGGCTCCAGGGTCTGAGCTGTCAGCACGGAGCCCAACGCGGGGCTTGAACTCACAGACCAGGAGATCATGACCTGAGCTGAAGGTGGATGCTTAACCGACTGAGCCACCGAGGTGCCTCTAAACTCTTAACAGATTTTTAACTGTAGCAGGATTCTGACACAGAGAGTCACGACACCGAGCCTTTTCTTTCCAGGAAGCAAGTTTATTCCTGCCGACACTGCTCCGCTGGCTTCGTACCCGAAGAACTGAACCCCAAAACCACGTGGCGTAGTTTTTTAAATGTATTTTCTGCTTCTTTGTCTCCCATATATGGTAACACACAAATATGTAGTATGATTAAGTGGTCTCATGTTACAAGGCCACGTACCTGCATAGCCAGGTTACCTTGAGGGTTTTTTGGTTTTGTTTTTGTTTTCTTTCCTTAGGGAGGGGACCCTACCACATTCCCCCCTTTGATGCCCGGACTCCTCTATTTTGGGTCAAAGAGCACCATCTTGGTTTAGAGCTTTAGATCTTCATAACATCATGACGCGAGTGGCCGTCTTTTGTAAATAATGGTCTCAGTGCGACTGGAGGCGGACCGTACAGCCAGGGGAGCTAAGCAAGGTAGGAGTAAGCACCCTCCCAGAATTTGGAGGATAATTTTTATGAGAGTTTCGAATCCCCCGAAAGTTGGAAACCATTTTCTAAATAACTCCTCGGGGTCTTAACCATCCCAGGTCTGGATGGAGACATGAGCAATCCTTTTTATTTGATCCGTGATCTCCTCTATGACCTTTTTCCTCATTATCTCTCTGTAGGCAGCAGTTACTTAGGTTAAACTTTCTATAAGCTTTTTTTTTTTTTTTTTTTTTTTTAGCAGCAAGTAGGTAATTAAAGGACAAGCGATTTTGATAGGTAGTATTACGCATTTTAGTTTGCTGCTTGGCTCTTAAGTTAAGAGCTCTGGCAGGTTTATTGGTTATAAATTTTTTATAGCTGCTTGCAGTCTGATTATGCGGTTTAGCATGTCCTTGGGAGTGTGGTAGCCCCAGGACCCGCCCTCTGCCCAGGTGGCAGGGCCATCATATTGGATTATATGCTGGGGAGGCTATTGATCATTTATTAAATTGCCAATTTGTAAGGCACGCTGCTGTCTCTGAGTCTCCCTGTTGCATACACTTGGGACTCCCAAATGTTTCCCTCTGGCAAGTGGGAGCAGGAAGAAAGATGGACGAATAGTTTCCAGCACACATGACCCTGACCAGACCGAGGGAAGTACTATACAGGCTGAACTTCCAAATCTCTTATAATGCACTTGGGGCCTGCCATTTGATGGCTGCATTGACAATGTCTCAGGCCTCTTGGAAATTACAAAAGTGAGACCAAGGGTGGGGAGCCAGCTCAAGGTGATCTGGGGTCCCCCGCCGTTGGGTCAATAACCTGTGTTTTTCTTACATTTCCATAGAAAAGCCTCTTATTCATTCCCTGAGTGCCTGCTGAACAAGGCAGAGTCTATGTGATGGCTAACATCACCTGCTGCACCTCTCTTATATCCTCCTGGGAAGTAAAACTCCATACAGATAAAATCAAGAAGGCACTTGGCTGCAAAAAGCCCTTGACCACCACCCACCTTTTTCAAGGTGCCTGGGACCGGCTGATCTATTCTCTAGGATACCCCAGTATCAGATCAATTTCAGAGGCGATGATAAAGGTGGGCTTGACTTGTTACTGTTCCATGGGACATACTTGGGGACCAGGCTAATGATGTCATATAGAGCTAAACTCTGCAGAATATCCACATTCTTAGCTAAGGAGCTACCTTTGATCCCTCCTCCATTAGAACATGGGAGGTTATGTCCTGCGTGATGTCAGTTCCTTCCATTCCAAAGCCCTGCTGTAACTCAGCTTGAAGCGGACCATGCCAGCACTCTGCTCGGTCTTAACGATTAACCCGCTTCCAGCTTCTGCATTCCTTGCTCGTGGACCTAAGTCCCTCAGTCTGTAGCAGAACGAACCTACTTTCCTCGAGATTTGCAGGCCACTGGTCTCGGGAGAGAAGGACCCAACTGTCCCAGGAGATAAGATCTGACCACGGATGCCAGCAAGCCTGTTCAGAGTCCTGTCGATGTTCGACTAACCGCCCGGGCACCGGCATCTCCTCCTCCCTTTCCCCCTGCCTTCCTCTTGAACGCCCTCCAGCTCCTCCTGGACAGGGAAGATGGCCTTTGAGACATTAGTCCGCCACCTTTCCGGGTTGCCGGCTTCCCGAGTAAAACAACCTTTCCTTTCCCCCCAGGATACGTCACTTGAACATTGGTTTCCGAGCGGTGAGTAGGCAAATCTGAGTCCAGAACCAGTTCTCTGTCCGGTAACACTCCCACCCATACGTTCCCATTGTTAATACTGGTGCCGTACATTTGTCACAGTGGATGAATTGGGACTGGCATATTATTAACCCAAGCCCACAGTTCCCATTAGGGTTCACTTGGAGTTTGTGCATATTCTGCATAACGTCATGCGCCCTCCATTATGAAACTATGCTGAGTAGCGTCTCAAAAAGGCCCTTGCCCCGCCTCCTCCCCCCCCCCCCATCTTTCTTGTTTTCTAATTGATGCATTCAATGCTAACGACTTCCTTCTGAGCATTACTCGGGCGGCATCCTGCACGTTTTCATTGGTTGTTTTCCCTTTTCGTTTAGCACAGGATATTTTAAAGTTTCTTGTGAGACTTCGTTGACCCATGTGTTAGTTAGAACTGTATTATTGAACGTCCACCTACTTTGGAATTTTCCAGATACTTTTCTTTAACTGATGTCTCATTTAACGCCACTGTGGTAGGCAGCATTCTCTGTGGGACATCCATTCTTTTGAATTTGCTAAGGTGTGTTTTACAGCCTCAGAATCGGCATATCTTGGTGAACGGTCCATGGGAGCTTGAGAAGAGTTTGTATTCTGGGTCGGCTGGGTGATGTGGCTTATAAATGCCAACTAGCTGTCTGTCGTAACCACCCCTCTCTTAACCAGCTCAGCAATGCATTGCCATTCCCCACTTCTTCTGTGTAGTGTGTGGACTGTTTGCCTGAGGCAACATGTAACCATGGACGGGTGGGCTTTCCTCTGTGTGGCAGTCACCTTGCTTGCCAGTCGGATTGCGTATATTTCAAAGATTCTGTCTGCCTTCAAACCGGTTTCGGCGATTGTTCGTGTCAATGAAACGTATACTGTGTAACAGCTCTGAATGTGAGAGACTGCCCTTTGGGGACACAAACTTCAACCTGGTTTTTGAAACGAGCTGCGAAACTATTGAACGGGGACTGAACAGAGGGCTGCTTCATCCACGTTCTGGGTAGAAGTTGGACACTCTGCACAAGTTACTTTCCTAGTAAGTGACACAATGTACTCAGAAAAACCAACGGATTATACAACGTAATTGCATCTTTCAATCAGAGTTTTGGAACACAACTTGTGTAAATTTCTTAACACTAGTGCACTCTGCTAGTGAAGGGTCCTGTTTTTCACTCCTCAAGGGGAGTTTTTGGTTCTGGGCTCCTACCTGACTGCAATTTCTAAGACCCCAGATGGATGCTTGTGTTTTTTCCAGTGTCCCCCCGCCCCCTTAGACAACGCTGTTGACTAAATACACATAAGTAGATCCAACATGAGTACGAAAGACATCTGTTCTTAGAAGACCAACACTGAATGCTCTGGAAAGATGAAGTAAAGCCAAGTTTCATGAAGTGGAACTGTGAACGACTGAGCAAACAATTGGAAAAATCCAGAAATATGCCCTAGTGCGTTTGTGGGTGGCTTTAAGTGATTGTTTCCTTTGAAGACACAGGAACAAGAAATTCTTCTGTGTTTTATGCAAAACGGACAATTCACGACTCTCATCGGGGGCCTGCCCTCGGTAAAAAAGTCTAGGTCTTGGAGTGTCTGGGTGGCTCAGTCGGTTAAGTGACCGACTTTGGCTCAGGTCATGAGTTTGAGCCCCACGCCCTCTTCAGATCCTCTCTTTCTCTCTCTGCTCCTTCCCAGCTTGTAGCATCTCTCTCAAAATAAAGAAACATTGAAAAAAAAAAGGTCTAGGTCTTTACTGAACAATTGGGAAATGAAGGCACATTTGTGGGTCCCGGCAACCAAGTTAGAGAATCATTACGCTGATGTCATATTTAAGGAGCTGAAGACCCACAGGATGAAGTGACCTACTCAAGGCCACACAGCAAGTTTGGGCCAGGGCCAAGCAAGTATAACTATTCCGTGCATGCATGGTGACTTGTGTTTCTATGGTGCTCAAATGTACTATTTAATCATACTAGACCAACACCCCCAGCAAATCTGACTCAGCTGAAGAGGGGCCAGCCAGCCCAGTGGAGTCCAGAGCACTGAGGATTTGGATCCACTTGACCCTTGTGCCCAGCCTGCTTTGATTTCACCAGGAGCCACCGGCCCTTCATCTCACTCACTCACCTTCACCAGCCCTGGTGGGAGACCAGATGATGGCAACTTGGCCTGATGTCTTTGAAGTATTTCTTGTCATTCTCCTTTTGCAGATGAGAGAACAGACTCAAAGAAGTTAGGTTCCACATCTAGAAAGTGCTGGTCAGGATTTGATTGCTGGACTGAACTCGTTAAAAGAAACTGGCATGCTTTTAGGGCGCCTGGGTGGCTCAGGCTGTTGAGCGTCCCACTCTTGATTTTGGCTCAGGTCCCAATCTCACAGTTTTGTGAGTTTGAGCCCCACGTTGGGCTCTGCACACTGACTGCGAGGAGCCTGCTTGGGATTCTCTCTCTCCTCTTCTCTCTCTGTTCCTCCTCCACTCATGAAAGACACTCTGTGTCTTTAAAAAAAATTGAAAAAAATAAACTGGTATGCTTTTATTGTCAGGTGCTTTCTACCATACCATACTGGCACTTCTGTACCATTTTATTTCAATGGGGGAGAAAATTATAATGAGCCAAGTCAGGTGTTACTGATATTTATGAAAACTTTCCTTGTGTATATTTATCTTGGCTTCTTTGGCATGTCCACATGCCAGGCGAAGGAGATCCACCATTTTAAAGGTGGAAATTAGCTGCCTTCTCAACTGACCATGACTGACTGGTGATAGCTGCATGAATGCTGTGTTAAGATGGATTGAGAAGCTGCTAGCAGGCTCTGTGAGAGTTGATTAGTAATGTCTGCCATGAGCACAGGGCTAGATTAGCAATGTCTTCCACGAGCCCGGGGCCACCGGTACCCCCTGCCACTTTTGGGGGTGCAGCAGGGCCTTAGCTGGTACCTCTTTCCACCTGGTGGCAGCTGGCTAAATTGTAGGAAAAACAGAGGGACTTGAGGGCAGTGGTTTGCACGATGCGGGTGGAAAGCATAAGGCGACAACCAGGAAATATGTTCAAATATACACCTTGTCCCCAAGGCACAGGAGAGTCTGGGGGTGGGGTGGCAGGGAGAGCATGGGGAGTTTGAAAAAAATCTCCCCAGGTGATTCTCACATGCCTACTTCTTCCCCAGGATCGAGACCCACCCCTTTTGGGGGTGAGAAAAAGAACTTCCCTCTAATGTGGCCCGGATCGGACTGGATGGCTCCTTCTGGGAAGTAACCAACATTCCTGATAAATTGCTTAAACACTTTCAGGATAGATCGTCGAGAGATTAATAACCCTTCTGGGAAGTTAGTTATCTCCACAGCTCACTTTCAGGACCATTGAAGGCTATCTGTGAAGGCTCCTTGCAGGATGGAAGGTTCTAGAATGCAAAGGAGGTGTCTGATGATCTGTGACAGTATTACCCAGTGTGTTCAGGATATTGTGCTGGTAGTTGGGTGAAACAGCTTCTTTCCTGGCATTGCTGTTGTGAGCCGTTGGCTTTGTCATTCCCTTCCCTGGGCTTTGGGATATTCATCAACTTTGTGGCCTCATTGAGCATGATCCGATTCCACATCACCTGGGAATACTCCCAAGATTGGGCTAGAGGGAAGAAGAGGATGCAGCACCCCCTGTTGGGTGGGCACCAAGGAAAAGCATTCAGCCAACATGGCCAGAGACCACATCTGCCTTGCCCACTGCTGTGTCCTCAAGGGCTGGAACACAGCAGATACTCATTAAATACTGACTACTCCAATAGCATCATGCATCCTGATGGGGAGAAACACTTCCAGAAACCAGAAAGGAAAAACCCAGACCACCGGCTTTCCTGGATATTCCTACTTTATTTTTGGCTACATCATCACAAAGAAAGGCAGTGGGCGGTTCGGCATGCATTGGAGGGTATGTGTGGATTCTAGGCAGGGAAGTGGTTACATTTGTCAGGGACAGCGTGCGCCCACACCAGGGACACTGTGAGCTTGCCGCATGCCGATTCCAGTGCCAGTACCAGCATCAGGCTTGAGCAACACATGCTTTCTCCTAAGGGCAACCGTGGGAAGGAGGTGGGCACCACGGGGACTGACAGACAGACAGGGTCAGGGGCAAGATGGCAGCCTTCTTGGGGAAGGCAAAGAGCTTGATGTCTAGAAAATGGTTATTCGAGGTGAGAAATCAGTCTTCCGATGAATTGTGCAGGGAGCTGAGGGAGGCATTGAGTGGAGAGGTTCAAAGGTGCGTTTGGAGAAAGGGAGAGTTTTAGGGTCCATCTGATGATGTCTGTGGATAATGGTGGGCTGTTAGAAGGAGGTGATTTTCACAGGGGTAGACAATGGAAACTGGGAGGGGGGGGGAAACAAGCCTTTCTCATGGGGCAATGAAGATTGCCTGACCCCAGCCTCAAATTTATCATGTTCATTCTCATTGCCTTTTTCCTTCTTTTCATTATTATTATCATTTTTTTTTTTTACTTTGGGGGAAGAAAGACTGACCGATTCATGACAGGACAATGGCTCTGGCATCAGGACCTGTCACTCTCTGAAGCTTTAGATTCATGGTGGTATTTTATTCCCCTGACAAATTTGGTGAAGAAAGTGTAAGAGGGAGAGAAAGACAGACAGACAGAGAGACTGAGACAGGCCACAGACAGAGAGATTCAAGGTGACTCTTGAGTGAGAGACAGGATTCCAGAGATGCAGAGGGTCAGAGAGTGCTAGGGACGGAGTAGTGTGTTCATTTAGAGAGGAGAGCAGAGGGAGGAGAAGGCCCCCTGGACCCAGAGCTCTGGTTTCTAAATGCCTTTTGCACCTACTTAGGGAGCCCCAAGGTTGAGGAAGTTCTCCAAGGGCCGTCTACACGGCTCCCGGGACAGCGCCCGCAGCGGGCCCCACCCCAGGACCCTGGCCCTGTCTGCAGGAGAACTGCCAGGTTTTAAGAAGCACGGGCCTCACTGGAACTTCAAGGTTGTGCCGGTTTGAGTCAAGCTGGGGAGGGGGGAGGCTGGCTTAAGGTATTTTTTTTGCTGTTGCTATTTAACCCCCTTAGAGGGTGAGAGAGAGGAGGAGGGGAGAGAGATGGACAGAGAGAGAGGAGAGAGAGGAGGTGAGGAAGAGTTTGATGGGCTGGAGGGGGAGGGGGAGGGGGAGGGAAGGCTAGGGACAGGGTGGGGGCGCTGGAGAAAGGGTGCTGGGTTTCGCTAGGCTACCAAACTCTGTTGTGTGTTCCGCGTGCCCATTTCTTGATGCATTTGGAGCAAGGAGGGTGTGTTCCTAGTTGCCGGGAAGTTTAAACCCGGGGGTCTGTTTTCCTGGCCATCAGGGGGCAGGGGCGGGTACTGCTGTGGACGGGCAACGGGGCCTGGATGCCCTATTTCTGCCCCAGGGCTGGTCCTCACAGCCTTGTTCGGGTCTGCTGACAACGGGGGGTATATGCAGACACGACACAGGAAACACAAGGGGTGTGTGTGTGTGTGTGTGTGTGTGTGTGTGTGTTCAAGGCTAGGAGGGTCTAAACGCAGTCCTCAATGATGAGGACCCTTTGCAGTTTACCCAGAGAGGTGGTTAAATTCCAACCTCCTTGTAAAAATCTCCCCATCCCTGTCCCTACTGCTCCTTAGAGGGACCAGAGAGGTGCTGCATTCAGGGCCCGCGCCACAGCATCGCCGAGGGAGGGAGGAGAAGGTCTTTGGCAGCAGTGCCCAAGGGGGAGGGGGGGCACCTGGAAGGCAGGTGCAGGGGGGGCAGGGAGGGGGGGCGGAGAGAAGAGGGCAGCTGGGGCAGGCTGGTGGGTGAGCCGGCACGGGGGCGGGGCGTGGAGCTGGGGACCTGGGGGCGGGGCGGGGGGCGGGGCAGCCTAATCGCTTGACACGTGGTTCTCGTTCTGCAGCTGGTGCCAGCGCTCGATTTTCTTGTCCTTGTTCTTCAGACACTCGTACCAGTGTTTTAAGCGCTCTCCCTTGGCTGAGATCCCCAACTGGCAGCCTCCTGGAGGACGGGGTAGGGAGACAGGAGCAGGCAGTCAGGGCGGAGAGAGGTGGGGGGCTCTCCTTCTGGACCCAAATATCTAATTTGGGGAAAACTGCCACCGAGAAGGGACCCTCCAGCCCCATGGGGTCCTTCTCTACGGACGGCTGTCGAAACGATGTGGTTGTCGCTGCTGGCCTCCTCTGCCCGCACACCGGCTCCTCAGGAACCTGCCGTGGCTCCCTATTGTAGCATCGAGTCGTAGCTCCGTTGCCTCAAATGTAAAGACCTTCTGTAGGTCACCTCCCCACTCACCGACACGTAGCTCCACCACTTCTGGGTCCTCACAGTCCACTTCCAAAGGCCCCACCCTCCCCTGTGATTTGATTACCCACTAAAGGTGATTCGTGCAGCATGTAGCCAATCAGGACCCAGCTGCCCAGCTTTGTAACCCTTTCCTGTGACACTGTCTCCCAGTTGGACCCAAATCAGCACCATGGGTCCCGACTCGGTGTTTGGACAATGCGGCCACCAAAAGACAAAGAATGCCCTGACCCCTCCCCCCGCCCTTCCCAGAAAGAAGCCTGGGTAAGGCTCTTCTCTCCCAGGAGGATGGGCTTCTCGCTGGGAGCTGGGAGCGCTCACCGATGTAATCGTTGGATTTTCCGATGTCATAGTCCCAGACCGAGATGTCCAGGGACTTCTTCGCCAGGTCGCTGTGTTTGATGTCATAGAAGAACTCCTGGATGCAGCAGAGGAAGACAGGTGAGTGAGAGGGTCCTGAGCCCTCAGCATCAGAAGCTAAGAGGCTGAGCGCTGAGGGCCCTTGAACTGGGCATCTGCTGGAGACTTTACCCCAGGCCTGACAATCCCCTTTCAACAAACACTCTGTATAACAAAGTCCCTCAAGCCCTGTAATTCTCGTTTCAATGACTCTCTGTTTGAAATGGGAAGGCTGATGGGGAACAGGGTTGCTCCCTGTTTAAGTTTACTTGAAGGCAGATGGCCGTGAAATCGGTCCTTCCATTCTGGTAGCTTCTGAAGTGGACTTTCCTTTCACTCCATCATTTAGAGATTAAGGACAGTCCATAGCCCTGAGGCTAACGTGAAGGATGGGGGCTTAGGTTTCCAGATAATCTGACTTTTATGTAACGTTTCTGCCTAACTATAAACTTCACTCATGCTTGCCATGAAAACAAACAAGGAAGCTAAAATAAAATAAAACCTAAACACCAAAGCTTGCAATCTAACTACCCAAGGATACCACATCAAGTTTTTAAAAGTTAATATGAATATTCACTTGACCATTTATTATATGAAACATTTGACTATTATATGAACTATAAAATAAATACACTGTATTGGGGCCTTCTTTCCCCATTTTATAACAAATGATAAAAACCAGCTTTGCGTGTTAGCAAATAGTTTTCTGTGTCACCATTTTAATGGCTTCATTTAATGGTTGTGCGGCCGTTCCTTAACCCAATGCCGAATGGTTGAGTATTTGGGTTGTTTCCAACTTGCCGCACTGTTAATGATATGATAAAAAGGCACACTTGCAACTAAGTCATTGTATAAATCTGTGGTAACTTATTTAGGATAAATTCTGAGGAATGTCCTTCCGAGTCTGTAAAATTTTAAGATAGAGAGCAGTGGGTGTAGTCTGTGAGGCCATTTGTGATCAATAAGAAAGCAAGCCACATGCATATTTGTTTTGCATACTTATACATTCCGGAAACAGGTACTATATAGTTGCTTTGGAAGAAGTAGGTTAAAGAGGCTGGGAAAGGAGGAGGATTTTGACAGAATACCCTTTGGTACTTCTGGAATTTTCAAATATGTGATCATATTACCTGTTCCCCAAATAAGTGGAATTTAACTTTAAAAATTGTAGAGCAGTTTGACAGACATCCCTTCGGAAATTGGACCAGTTTGTCTGTGTATGCATGGTGTGTACATTTCTCCACAGGCTCACCAACACCGGGTATCAACATTTTACAATATTTTTTGTGCCAGTCTGTGATGGGATATGGTGTCTGGCCTTGTTTCATATTTTCTCCATTGTTAATGAGGCTTAGTGGCTATTTGGGACTCTTCTTCAGTGACTTGTTCAGACTCCAGCAGAGGGTAGGGGAGGACCGCAGTCATTGGTTCCTGCCTCAAAATTCATGAGTCAGGGTTGGAGTCCCGCTGAAAGAGGGCTGGGCTGGGGCGTGAGTTTGGAAGGGCTTGACTGTTCCATTAAGAACTCAAGGAGCCACTGCTGGGTTAAGCGACAGGAATGACAAATTTGGATTCATTCTTTAGAAAGCACGTGTTTAGGGGCACCCAGGGGGCTCAGTCAGTTGAGCTTCTGACTTCCGTTCAGGTCATGGTCTCGCGGTTCATGAGTTCGAGCCCCGCGTCGGGCTCTGTGCTGACAGCTCAGAGCCTGGAGCCTGCTTCGGATTCTGTGTCTCCCTCTTTCTCTGCCCCTCCCCTGCTCATGCTCTGTCTCTCTCTCTCTCTCTCTCAAAAATAAATAAACATGTAAAAAATTTTTAAAAAGCAAGCAAGCAAGCTCATGTTCATTTGGAGGATGGGCCAAGCACAAGGGAGTCAGGCAAGAGTCTACTGCAGTAGTCCAGACGGGAAGCACCAGACAGGTAACAGTGAGGCCACAAGAAGGAGCACATTCAGTGGGTACGTAGATAGTGGCCTTGGGGGAACTTGATGCCCAGGATGGACATGCGGGTGAGGGAGAGGGAGACGGCAGTGCCAACTGGGTAGATGGTAAAGGGCATCACTACCCCTATATATTCCCTCAAATTTCAGTACCACAAACTATTCGAACGGGTAAAGACACTGGAGATGATTTCATTCACTCTCTTCAAATGCAGCTTCTTCCTAAGACAGTCCTCATCCATAGGCTTTTGTCTCAGGCTTGATTCCCTCTCGTGACCAGGAACTCATTACCTAACTTGAGATAATTCAAGTCGATCTGTGAGAAAAAGCTTTTTTGATGTGCTTTACAACATTCTAGTAGGGAGCGTGTTCCTATCTCACGTACAGGAAATGTCTCAGAGCGTGACAAAAAATGGGGCAGCCTCACCTCATTAAATTCAGGATTCAAGGTTTTCTTCTTTATTTGAGTCTTGTGTTTGGCTTTCTTTCCCATGTCCGGCTTCAGCCAGCTGAGAGGAGACAGAAATGCTATTGTGGATGAAGTTTAATGAATAACGGCAGCCTCTTGATAACCCCAAAGGCTCCTTTCAGTGTCAGGAGAATAACTGAACTGAACAAATCAGAAAGTGAGTCAACAGTAACAATGGCCAATGCTCATTAGAGCAGCTACCAGGCACTGCGCTAGGCACCTTAGGTACATCTAATTCTCAAACAAACAAGTGGGAACTGTAGCCAACCGTTCTACATACAAGACATGGAGCATCCAGAGAGGCTGGCACGTGTGCCTCCAGTCACACAGCTGGGGACTCAAGCCAGCTGTTGTCTCTGGACTCTGTGCTCTTAGCCAGAACTTTCTCCCAGTGGATCAGATTGAAAGCCTGGGCTGTGGTGCCTGGAGTTTCACTATGACCCCTTAGACTGCCCCCAAGTCCTGGGGATATGGTGACTGTGTAGACAGAAAGGAGAAGACACAGATCTGATTATAGTAAATCCTGCTCAACACTGGTCAGTGGCTCTCCTTGGACCTCAGGGTAAAATTCAAAATCCTTGATGTGGCCTTTCAGGCTCTGTATGATTGGGTCCGTGCTCCAGCGCAGCCCGGCCTTGGGCCATGCTCTTCACCCCACGCCCCAGTCACTGTCCTTTCCACCCCAGGGCCTTTGCACACTCCATCCCCTCTGCCTAGAGGGCTCTTCCCCAGTGTAGGCACGATGCCTGGCACATAGTAGGTGCTCAACCAATTTCTTCTGGACAAATAAATAAAACAGGCCAGCAACTCTTAAGAGCTGGGATATTCGGATTCTGATTAAAGCTGTCACTAGCTGTGCAACTTTGAATACGAGTGTCGCTGTGGCCTGCCTCAGTTTCCCAATCTCTACAGAAGGCAAACATTTCATTTTTCTCACTTACGGAAGTGCTTTTGAGGATAATTTATTTTATGTGTTGACTGTTACTGAAGTATAGTTGACACATAATGTGCCACTAGTTTCAGGTGTATGACATAGTGACTGGACAGGTCAATGCTTCTACTATGCTCACCATGCCTGTCACCACCCAGTGCTATCACGGCAGCGACTGTCTTCTGAATGTTGTGCCTCTGACCCCTGTGACTCATTCAGTCCATGACTGGAGGCCAGTACTGCCCACAGCCCTTGAGTGTACTTTTGTTTATCTATTTATTTTACTTTTTAATGTTTATTTTTAAGAGACAGACATTGAGACAACTGGGAGAGGAGCTGAGAGAGAGGGAGACTCAGAATCTGAAACAGGACCGACTGAGCCACCCAGGTGCCCTGAGGATACTTTTAAAGAAGAGACACAAAGAGGGAACTGAAAGTATGAAGGGCTGAGCAAAGATACAGATAAAATTGGGACGCCTGGGGGGCTCAGTCGGTTAAGCGTCCAACTTTAGCTCAGGTCGTGATCTCACAGTCCGTGGATTTGAGCCCCGCGTGGGGCTCTGTGTTGACAGCTCTGAGCCTGCAGCCTGTTTGGGATTCTGGGTCTCCCTCTCTCTCTGCCCCTCCCCCACTAGCACTCTGTCTCTGTCTCTCAAAAATGAATAAAAACAGAAACCTACGTGACAATAAACTATTTATAAAAAAAATAAAAAAAATAAAATAAAAATGTGTAACGAGGAAAAAAATGAATAAAAACATTAATTTTTTTTAAAATTTTAAAGCGATAAAATTAATTCTGATTTTAAAAATCTTTATTTGATCTTAAGCTGATTACGGCCTCCTGTTAGCTTCACCATGATGGCCACCAGGGCAGCCATTTTACCGGCAACCTCAGCAACGCTCCTTCTTCTGGAGGGGCTGGATGGATGGGAGAAGGGGTGGAAGGGAGAATCACTTCAGAAAAACAACTTGCGTGTTGCTGGGATGTAATGGAGAGCAGGACAGGAGCCCCTGGGCCAGTTTTCTCTATTGGACCATATGAGAAAATAAAACCCAATTACTCCTAGAAATCAAACTCATCCCGGACACGTGTGTTCTTTTGTTCAACAACTCCTCATTCAAAGAAAGGCTGAAGCAAAGTCCACACTGGTTTTTAGCCATGACCTTAAGGGGAGCGTTTCTTTCGATTATGAAAGGTAGTCAGTGGGAGGGAGTGTCTCCCGGGCTGGAGGGAACATGGGTAAGCACTCTCTGCCATGAGTAGTAGTAGTGGTGGTAGTGGTTTATAACCACAATGCTACATATTTATTGAGCACTTACTACGTACCAGACCCCATGAAAACATGTCTCTCGGATCTCCAGCTGCAGGGGCCAAAACTGACTGATAAGCTGCTGGACTCTGATTTTTACCACGATGTTCTTGCTGTGGCCGCGCTTGCCCCGGGCTGCTCCCAGCCAGTGCCTGGGCCCCCAGGGCCAGGAGGCGGCCCCATTTTTGGGAGATGCAGGACACCAATGAGTGACCTTGCACTCCAGGATTCCCCATCGCCTGAGCTGAAACTTCCTCAGAACTGCACTGCAATCTATGACGTTTCCTGCCCACCCGTCCCCCCTCCTCCCTGCCTGTTTTCCCTACCGCCTTCCTCTGGCTCCCTCTCAATTCCCTACAGCCTTGTTCACCAGTACATCTCTTTCACATCTCATTTCGTCTTGGCGTCTCCTCCTCGGAGGGTAAAACCTAGTGACCCATATTACTCTTCCCATTGTACAGATGAGGACATCGAGGGCCAGAGATGTGAAGGCACCAGCCAAAGGTCACACAGCTGGAGAATCCTGAAGACTACTGGCTCTAAGATTCAAACCCAGGCATCTGGATCCAGAGCCCAGGCTTTCCGCCATGTCGATAGAAACACACACTTTGCTGCCACAAGGCACGGCAGAATTCTATCGAGAGTAGCCGAATATTTCTGTACCAGGGACATTTCTCATTTGAGCCTTATGCCTTACCTACTCTTGGACTTAAGTGGACCTACTGTGTCCATAGCAGTGAAGAATCTGAAGCTCAGAGAGGATATAGTAACTTGCTGATAGTTAACAGTGAGCAGCTGGGAGATGGGAGTGGAGCCCCGTGTCCGGTTCAGCGGTGGCCACGAGGAGGCGCTGGGTGGACCTCCGCCGACAGCATCACCGACCTAGGCCCCCGCTGCTGCACTTGGAAATCCAGCCACGTTCGTGCTGAGATCCTGCTCCCAGCTGATGACGGAAGGTGGCAGGGCCCACTCCTAGGAGACATGGGACTCGTCTGGTGGCTGATTTGGGCCTCGAGGACTCTGATGGGCTTGCTGAACTTGCATCTAGGATGCCTCCACTGGTTCCCACCTCCCCCCTGCGCTCTCGCACTGGGTCCCACCCCCCTCCCTGCTTTCCCTTACTCAGGCATTTCTCGTAGTGAAGCCTTTGTCTGTTGGATCCTATCTTAGCATCATTCCATAGGACCTGGACTTACAGATAACACGTCTCTCTTACTCCCCATGGTGGAGCTTACTGGAATAACAAAAGTCTAAGGCCTCAGAGCATTTCCAGACTGCACCTGGGAGATGCTGGAATTGCTTCTTTGGTGGCCAGGCTCTCAACTGCTGGCGGGATTTGTTGCTGATTCCAGGGAGCTCCAAATGGGGTTAAGGCCTCTCTCCCACTGGAGGGGACAGAGCCACAAAACTCCTCATATGGGTGAGTGACACACCACTCTGACTCTCTGAGACTCCAGACTCACACTCTAGCCAGTTCTGGACATCATCTCCCTGTGTGACCTTGGGCAGGCTCATTCCCTTCTCTGAACCTCGATGTTCAACCATCTTGAGGAAGCTCTCTTGTTCTCCCTTTGCAAGGACCTAGGACCCTGTCTGGGGTCCATTCACAGTCCCAGTGACTCACAGCTTGACAAATGGATCTGAGTAGCCGTTGGCGTCCATGGCGGCCAGGTGCACGCAGCGTATGATGCCCACGATGAGGCCTCCCTGCTGTGTGCTGTACATGAGGGACACCAGGATCTTGCCGCGTTCCTCTATGTCACCAATGCGTTCCACCTGCTGTAGTAGAAGAAGAGGGCATATGGGCCTAGGAAGGGGAGGGGCCGGGCAATTGGATGGATGACTGGCGTTAGGGAGGAGACTGGAAAGTAGGAGGCACTGGCCCGGCCCTGTGTGTTCAGCACCTTGGACAGCAGACGCCCCCCAGTCTCCAGGGACAAGCGAGTGGGGATAGCAGTGAAGGCACTGGGGGCAGGGGCTTTGCCCTGACTTAGACAAAGACAGAGCCCTGAGTGACTGGAGGTGGGGCTGGACTCTGGTTCCAGTCTGACTCTGAGCTCAGATTTGCCGGAGTAAAACAGTTTTCTCACATCTGTAGTCTCTGGGGTCCCGTGAGGGACTTGGGCAGAAGGCACAGAGGGTAGCCCAACCCCAGCCTCAGCCAGGCTGCCCTAGGTCCCCACGGAGGGGGAGTGGCATTGCTCTAGTCGTGCAGAATTGTCCAGCAGAGCTTCCGGGGAACTCAGGGGTGTGCCCCGGGTGTGAGAGGGTGGGCTGTCTCAGCCTTGGGGGCTCCAGGTGGGAGGAGCATCTATTTGGTCTCATGTTCTAATGGGCAAGGGTGCCTCTCTCATGGTAAACTGATGGGCAAGTGGTTTTGGGAGAAAGAATAAAGAAGGGGCCGGGAGGGAGAGAAAAGAGAGATGGCAGACCTCGACCGTGGCTTCAATACCCATGCAGTGCTCACCTCCTCCTCATAAAGGGCCATGCCTCGGGCTGAGCCAGTGGTCCCGGCACGCTTCATCTTAGAGGAAAGAAATAGAAAGGAAAGATAACATGAGTCTGTGAGGCTCATCTCCTTACATGAGAAGGATCAGAAATCCCACATCCTTCCATTAGCATCCAGAGCCATGAGGGTGGGTTCTCCAAGCTTCTGTGGCATTCCAGCTCTCCTCCTTTTAGACAAAATTTACATAATGTTAGCCATATGATGGACCATGTTAATGCACATCCGGCCTATGATGTAGGTTTGTATTACTATCCCATTTGACAGATGAGGACACTGAAGGTCAGAGTGGTTAAGCCACTTGCTCGAGGCCACAGAGCCAACAAGTGGCAAAGCATCCCATACCTAAAACAGATACGTTTTCATCTGCTCTGGTAGGACTGGCACAGGGGGCTTGAGGTCTGAGCCACCAGGTATTCTTCCCCTTGGCTCCTAAGGCCCTTTTGTAGGATTCTATGACTCTGGGGAACACAATGTGGAAACCACTGCCTAAATCCAACCTCCCCACTATAGAGATGAGGAAAACTGAGGTCCAGGGGGGAGGGACAGCACTTGCGAGGTCCTTGCCCTTGGTGAGGCATGTGGGGTAGTTGGTGGTGGGGAGGTTAAGGGCGAAGAGCAAAAGAAGATGACCAGTGGGGTCCTGTGGCTGCTCCAGGCCCCTGCCTGTCCCTCTGCCTTTGTGCCTCTGGGGCTGGCTGCGTCCCTCATAGGAAGATGGGCAGACTCAGGGGCTGATAATCCAGGTGGGGGCCCGGCCACTGTCCTGACCAGCTGGACTCAGTGAGAGATGGAAGAGGAGGCCTGAAGAACTAGCTGTTACCAGGAGAAGAGCCAGTGCAAATTTTTTACTCTTAGGATTGTCTTTAGTGATTTATCTGGAGCCTGGCATTTGGGGCAAATTGCTTCTTGCAGTTTTCCTTGCTCTGTCTTGTTCTTTCGTCTGTACTATAGAAACACGGTGCGGTGCACGGGATGTTCCATCCTCGGGCTGGCCATCTGGTGGGAGGATGCAGCAAGACTTCCCCTCCTGCCCCCCACGGTGGCCCTGTGGGGAGCCGGCCCACTGCCCAGCACACCGGTGGCTGCTGGAGAGCTAGGCTCCGGCCGGTGCCCAAGAGCACAGCCACCGCCTTGCGGCATATCCTTGGCAGCTCGCTCCCCTCTGTGGGCCCAAGGTGGCCCATAGGTAAAATGGGCAGGTTGGATTATCTCTATAAATACAGACTGCTGGGTCCTGCCGTACCTCCCTAAGTCAGGATCTCCAGAGAGGTCCCCACAAATCAGTTTCAGTTCTGGTTTAAAATGTGGTTTAAGCCCCAGTTTAGAAATCTCCAGTTGAGAACTGTGTCTGCAGCCTCTGATGCGCCAGCATCGCTCGCTACCTCCAGCCGTGCTCCAGCCGTAGGGGAAGGCGGGTAAGGGAGGAGGCCTCTGTGCCGGGGCTCATGCAAAGCAGACTGCTCGCAAATGGACCGGGAAAGCGGCAAGGAAGCCACAGGCTACAAGAGCTGCTTGCAGAAGTGCGCCCTCTACTGGAGAGTGAAGAAACCTCGTCGTTACAGGCCTGACGCTGTGGCATTGGGCGAAATCAGAGGTTATCCGAAGTCCACTGAACTTCTGATCCGCAAACTTCCTTTCCAGCATTGGCGCGAGACATTGCCCAGGACCTCAAAACAGATCTGCGCTTCAGAGTGCAGCTATTGGGACTGTGCGGGAGGCAGCGCGGCCTCTCTGCTGGGCCCCCTAGAAGATGCCAATATGTGTGTTCTTTATGCCCAACATGCAACATTGTGCCAGTAGACATCCCGCTGGCGCACTGCCCAGGTGGGGAAGGTGCTTAAGAATCCACTACGATGGGTAACATTTGGAGGTGCCTCGGTGGCTCAGTCGGTTAAGCACCTGACTCTTGATTCCAGATCATGATCTCAAGGTCGGTGAGTTTGAGCCCCTTGCGGGGCTTGGTTCTGACAGCGCGGATCCTGCTTTGGGTTTCTCTCTCTGCCCCTCTGCTGCTCATGCCTGCACTCTTTCTATCAAAAATATATAAACCTTAAAGAATGTTTTTTCCTCTTCTTCCTGTTACTGGTCGTTCTGAACGTTCAGTATTTTTTCCCCATGGGAATCAAAAGTTACCTGAGTTTATGATTGCAAGGGAAAAACAGGGGACAGAAATCAGGTATTAACAGTTTTTCCATTTTCATTTGTGTGTGAATTTTTAATATAAATGTGGAGACCTAAAGCATTAATGCCAGCTAAAATGTTTCAAGGAGCACGATTCAGCAGGTTCGACTTTATAATAATGATAAATAAACCGGTTACATTTTTCTGGATAATGCCGGCATTTGGATCTTTTTTAAAAAAAATTTTTTTTAATGTTTTATTTATTTCTAGGAGAGAGAGAGAGAGAGACAGCGTGAGCAGGGGAGGGTCAGAGAGAGAGGGAGTCACAGACTGAAACAGGCTCCAGGCTCTGAGCTGGCAGTCAGCACAGAGCCCGACGCGGGGCTCGAACCCACGAACCGCGAGATCATGACCTAAGCGAAAGTCAGACGCTTAACCGACTAAGCCACCCAGGCGCCCTCATTTGGATCTTTTTTTAAACAGGGACATTTCTTATCGACGGCAGCTGAATGGTATTTGTGGCATTTTGATCACACGGTAGATTCCATCCGTTCACTACACTTTTCTGAGTTGTCCTACGTGTTTTTAATGCTGTCAGTCTTCTGTGCTGTTCCTGTAAGTTTGCTACTAAAATACATCGAACTATAAAAACAATTAAAAAAGTAAAAACCTCCAGTTGATTCCGAGGTATAGATTGGTATTCTCCGATCTCCAGCTGGAAGCCTCAGTTTGGTCCCTGTTTGTTCCCAAGGCGAGCATCGTGTCTTGCAGTAACAGATCCACTGCTCCATGAAGTAGTCTCACATTAGTCCTTAAAAGACCCTATGAAGTCGGTACTTTACTACCTTAGTCCATTTTACAGATGAGAAAATTGAGGCCTCAAGAGGTTAAATAATTTGGCTCAGAGTATACTGTGAGTGGCAGAGCCTGAGATTCAGACCCAGGGTTACTGGCTCCAGGACTCATGCTCTTAAGCACTATGCTACCTGCCTCCCGGTGACCTGCGTGGAGCTTTATTCATTCGTGACCGGCGAGGGGGTAAGGCAGCATTCCCTTCCACAATAACAACAATTAATTTACGAGTGCTTATCAGACCCTACGTTCTGTTCTTTTTTTTTTTTTAATTTTTTTTTTTAATGTTTTATTAATTTCTAGGAGAGAGAGAGACAGTGTGAGCAGGGGAGGGTCAGAGAGAGAGGGAGTCACAGACTGAAACAGGCTCCAGGCTCTGAGCTGGCAGGCAGCACAGAGCCCGACGCGGGGCTCGAACCCACGAACCGCGAGGTCATGACCTAAGCGAAAGTCGGACGCTCAACCGACTAAGCCACCCAGGCGCCCCCCTACGTTCTGTTCTGATAGTATCTATCACGCAACCCTCCTATGGCGCAGGTCTTGTTGAGATGCCCATTTTGTAGACTAGAAAAACTGAGGCTCAGAATTGTTCAGACCGTTGGCCGAGGCCAGGGGCCAGGGAAATGGCAGAGCCGGGCTTTGCCCCCAGGGAGGCCACACTGCTGTTCCACACCGCCCTTCCCGGTTTCACCAAGGGGGATGTGACGTCAGAGAAGTGACCTGGGCCCGGGCTGCAGAACCAGGACGCAATCCGATGTTCTGGCCTGAAATCTCCCTCCCGCCTCTACTGTCGGGCACCTTGAAGGTCTATCACCACCTTTGCGGGCCCAGAGGAAGGCCCCGGCTCCCAGCCCTTCCTCCCCGCTGCACCCTCGGGGCAAAGGCGCTCACCGGGATCACTCGCTCCAGACAGATGTTGAAGTTCTTTCTCTGGTTAGGCTTCAGCTTCTTGAGTGAGAATCTGGTCTCACCGATAAACTCGTTATGGCCAAATTTGTCTTCGTCACAGACGGAGATCCTGCGATCCACAGAAGGGGTAACTCACAAGCAGTAATGTGTACACATCTTAAGTTTACAACTTGCCGAATTTTTGCATATGGATGCACTGATGCAACTATCACCCAGCTCAAGATATAGAATGTTCTGGCTCCCGGAAGACCCTCAAGGTCCCTCCTTGTCATGACCTCCCTCAAAGATAACCATTACATTGGCCACTGGCAAGATTCATTGTCTTGTTTTGGACCCTCAAATAAATACAATCAGCCGGTATGTATCCTTTAATGTTCTGTTTCTTTTACTCAGCAATATGTCATGAACTTCATCTACATCTAGAGTCATTTGTCCTTTTCATGGCTATATACTATTCCACTGTGAACTGATACCCCAATACTTCTGCTACTGATAGGCGTTTGGTTTTGACCCATTTCTAGTTTTGAGCTCTTATGAAGAAAGCTGCCACAATAAACTTTTAATTTTTTTAAAGGTGGGGGGCATCTGGATGGCTCGGTTGGTTAAGCATCTGACTCTTGGTTTCTGCTCAGATCATGATCTCACGGTTTGTGAGTTTGAGACCCGCCTCAAAGGTTCTGTGCTGCCAGCGCAGAGCCTGCTTGGGATTCTCTTTCTCCCTCTTTCTCTCTGCCCCTCCCCCACTCATGCTCGCTTTCTCTCTCTCTCAATAAATAAATAAACTTTAAAAAAAAAGAAAGAAAGTTGCTACCGAACACTCATGTCTGTGTCTTTTGGTCTGCATATGTGTATGTTTCTACTGAGCATCGTCCAAGGAGTGGAAGTGCTGAGTCACGTAGGTTTAACTTCAGTAGAACTTTCTAGACAGTTTTCCAGGGTGGTTCCACCAATCACACCCCCACCAGCAGGCCATACAAGTTCTGTTTACTCTTCATTGTCTCTAACTTTGACTTTGTCCGTCTTTAAGTTTCGCCATTCTGAGCGAGCAATGGTTCTCTCTTGGTAGTTTTCATTTATAGTCCCCGGTGATTAAGAAAGCTGAGCCCCGTTTTCATATACTTTATGGCCAGGGGAGCATCGTCTTCTGCAAAGTCAAGCCAGCAACTTAGCTACCCTCTCCTCTTTCAGTGCGTCGTCCCTGCAGACATCTGAGTTTCCCACTTTACAGAGGAGACCGGCCCCCAGAGAGCTGGACTCAACTTTCCCTGGTAAGAGGCAGAACCAGAAGTGAATCCAGGTCTCTCCGAACCCTCAAACACTATCTAGTCCTTCATTAGCCACTCTGCACAGCAGTGAGTAGAACACAGGCAGACACAGAGAGGGCAGGTCATGGAAAGGCCCCTCAGGAGGCCAAAGGAGCCAGTGCTCGCATAATAACTCATCCTGACATAGACCGGAGGGAAGGAAGGATGTGTCTCCCTGAGGCACGGGAGGCAGTCAGGTGGATGGGCAGGGACTAAAGACACCTTCCCCCTTGGCCACCTGCATTTGTTGAACCGTGTTCAAAGCGCTCAAGGGCCAGAACAGCCTCATGGATGAGCCCCACCCAGCAATGCCAGTTCTAGGAATTTACCTCAAAGACATAAGATGTGCCAGGTCGTTTAACTACAAAGATGTTCATCACCGTATTCTTTCTAATGACCAAATAGCAGGAATAACATGCGTGCTCTATAATGGGGGGCTACTGAAGAAGATTATGAGATGACCGTAAAAATGTAACAGGAGGCATGGAAAATAGTGTTGTATAAAAAAAATTTTTTTTTTTAATTAAAAAAAAAAGGGACGACCGGTGGCTCAGTCAGTTAAGTGTCTGACTTCAGCTCAGGTCATGATCTCGTGGTCCATGAGTTTGAGCCCCGCGTCAGGCTCTGTGCTAATGGCCAGGAGCCTGGAGCCTGCTTCAGATTCTGTGTCTCCCTCTCTCTCTGCCCCTCCCCTGCTCATGCTCTGCCTCCCTGTGTCTCAAAACTAAACATTAAAAAAACAATTAAAAAAAAAAAAGTTAGGATAGAGAATAGCCTGAGGGAGGGTCCTCACTACAGGAATGGCTGCGGGGGGGGGGGGGGGGGGGGGGGGCAGGGAGCCTGTGGTCTTGAGAACGTTCTGTTCTCGGATCTCAGCTGTGTCCCCTTTGTAAAAGTTCATCAATCCGTACAGTTTTTGTGTGTGCATTTTTCTAGGTGGATGCTACCCTGCAAGAAAAATGTTTACTTAAACTAACAGTGTGGCTGGTGGGAATGTGTGCAGAACAGCCCAAATTTGAAAAGCAGCTTGTATGATTTGCAAAATAAAACAAAAACAAAAACAACAGATGCTATGAGGCAGGAAATGCCTGCTCGCTTTTTTTTTAATTGTTTATTTATTATTGAGACAGAGAGAAACAGAGCATGAGTGGGGGAGGGTCAGATAGAGAGGGAGACGCAGAATCCGAAGCAGGCTCCAGGCTCTGAGCTGTTAGCACAGAGCCCAATGCGGGGCTCAAACCCATGAACCGTGAGATCATGACCTGAGCCGAAGTCGGATGCTTACCCAACTGAGCCACCCAGGCGCCCCGCTTTGTTTCTATCCGAAGGAGACATGACTGTGCACACAGGGAGGCATAAAGGGTGCTCGTCTGTTTGTAAAGAAGCTGGAAACAACCTAAATGTCCGTCCACAAGGCACTGGCTGAATAAACTGGCAAACATTTACATAAAATGTAAAAACAGGCCAGACAATACCATCATGGTGTATAGATACGTAGTCATGTAGCTGAAGCGTAAAGCATGGGAAGGACATCCATAAAATTCAGTGTTTAGCTCTGCGAGGGAAGGAAGAGGAGGAGACGGCGTGTGTAAGCATCTGTAGTGCTTTACTTCTTGAAAATAATAATAATTGAAAAAGCTGCACATACAGCAAGATAGTAAGATTTTTCTAAAAGCCTGAGTATTGAGTTTGTGGATGTTTGTTTTATGTTCTACACTCTTCTGTGTCTTTTTACAAATTTTTTGTAATGTTTATTTATTTTTGAGAGAGAGACAAAGTGTGAGCAGGGGTGGGTCAGAGAGAAAGGGAGACACAGAATCCCAAGCGGGCTCCGGGCTCTGAGCTGTCAGCACAGAGCTCGACACGGGGCTCGAACCCACGAACTGTGTGTGAGATCATGACCTGAGCTGAAGTTGGACGCTTAACCCATGGAGCCACCCAGGCACCCCTCTTCTGTGTCTTCCTGATATTCAAATTATTAAACATTTTTTAAAATGTGCCATTCTGTGTAATACTCTGAAGCAGTCAAATATTAGGCAGATCTAAATGTCTTGTCATGGCTGAAACTCAAGATCCATTGTTAAGAAAAAAGGCAGGTTCCAGATCTATGCAGCAGGGGTACTTTATAGGTTGTAATCTGGTTTGGAGCTGTGGACGCTCATGGGCTGGCAGAGCGATTAACATTTAAAAAGAGCATTGCCTTCTCTGTCATTTTTTTTTTTTTTAAACAAGGAAAGTGTATTCATTCATGACTTCTATAATTACAAATGCAGTTTAACAAAACACGGAAGAAGATAAAATGGCATCAATATATTGTTAAGTACGAGAGGCTAATTAATTAATAGCATGGTCCATTTTTATAAACACTTCATTTTAGAAGAAATGTTTGCACCCATACATAAGTACACACGCATAAACACACACACACACACACACACACACACCCCGAATGTCCAGACACCAAGATGTTAAGAGGGTTTTTTTTCTCTGTATTTTCAAAAGTTTTTACCAGCACTATATTGTTTTGGTAGAAGTAGAAAAGAAGGGAAAAACTAAGCAGACATATTTTAAAGAGGGGCCCCTGGCAGCCCTCGGCGCCCCCTCCGTGCCCCCTCCCCGCAGTACCTGAGTGTCTTCCTCTGCATGTCTTCGTCTGTGATGCCATGATAGACAAGCGTCTCGTTCCACACGGGGTTCCGGGTGTTCCGCAGGGTTTTTGTTCGAAGCTTGTTGGACTAGAGCCCAGAGAGATGGACAGACACCTGCCTCGGTGGGGAGCCAGCCCCGCGGCCCTATCCTTCGGGTTGATTGGGGTGGGTGGGTGGATGAAGTAGAAGTCCCTATCCCTATCCATCGGGGGATGGGCGGGCGGTCAATATGGGAGTCCTCTCCCTTTACAAGTATCCAGGGGCTCAGATGTTCCCCAATGCGTGCTTTCAGTGAGTGAGGCACGCCCCGCCCGGTGAGGGCTGTGGCCATGGAGCCACCCCTCCCTCCATGCTCCAGGTCCTCTCTGAACTTTCCATTAAAATTAGAAAGCAGAGACATCTTCCTTTGAGAAAAAATGTGATTTATAGGCCAGAAAGGCAGCGAAGAAACAATTTCTGGAGAGATTGAAATGGTTCCTTCTGTCTTCCCAAATAGCGTCCACCATGCCTGAAGTTCCTTAGGGGGCAGAGTTTTCATTTTGCTCGAAGAGAGAAGGCTAAGAATGCACTATGTCCAGAAGAGGTGGCCTGGTGACAAATCTAATTCATACTAACATGTAAATGACTCACTGGGCGCTTTGGCATAGCAAGTTTGCATTCAGGAGTGAGCAAAGACTCTCGAGGAGAAGCAACGTACTGGGTACTGGGGAGTTAGAATGAGAAGCGACCAAACACTTCAAAGTTTGGCCACGGCCAGGGGAGGGACTCTCCTCGATCCAAACAAAGAAAGGGTAAGAGAGAGAGAGCATGCGTGTGAATGCACGCACGTGTGCCCTCTTTGTGATGCGACATTTCACATTTGCAGAGACTTTTAACAGGCGTTTCCACAAGATCACATAACCGAATGCGCAGTCGCCCTGGTTTTCAGAGCATCCGTGTCAGATTAAGACAACAAACCAGAAAATAAAATCCAAGAAAGCACCTTTTCCTTTCTGGCCTTGTGCTCTGAGTGGACCAGTCCAAAGGAAGGAGAGTTAGCCCCATTTTCCTTTCCGGATATGCGGACTTTCACTCAGTAACAGCACATTTTCTCAAGGGCTTAGCCCTGCAGCCCAGAGAGAGCTATTCATTTCCATTAAGAGAGGAGAAGGCTTTGAACGTAAAATGAGCAGGCGAAGTGAGCCATGGTCGGCACTGGGGAGCCACAGAAGGTATCTGAGCAGGTGGATGGCATAACCAGGGCACCTGCTTCCCCGCTGGCCTTCGGCAGCTCCCTGGATCCCAGGTTTCTGGGCTGGAGAGGCTGGCAGAGCGCCTGCACCTTGAGGAGGAATGACTCCCCTTACCCCTCGATAGGACTTGCCGCTCAGGGAGGAGGCGAGTTTGGGGCCAGATAAGGCTATTTTAGGCTCTGAGCTGGGAATCTCGGGTGCCTGCCAGAGCCCATGTGCCCCGCCTGCCGAGAGGCCCAGGCCATATGGTACCTTGCTGGCTCCCGGCAGGAGGTGCAGCTTAACGTAAGGATCAGCCAAGCCATTGGAGTCCATGGGCTTCAGTCCCTGCAAGAGAAAAGACAGCAGCATGAGGGCCTTGGGGGGCCTGGCGCTCAACTATCATCGGCAATGGACGCGGCCCCTGACATCTGTCCTGCCCAGCGGCCCACCCGTGTGCTTCCTCTTCCAAAGAGAGAGAAGGGAAACGAAGTCTCTTGGGAAGAACACCAGAATCAGGCAGACAGGGTTTGAAGCCTGGCCCTGTCACTTCCCAGCTGTGTGAGTTTAGGCAAGTTCCTTAGCCTCTCTGAGCCTCATTTCCCTCACCTGTCAAATGGGATAACAGGATCTGCTTCATGGAGTGGTAAAACCTAAACACAGTTATACCAGTAACGTGCTAGGGACGGAGCCTGGCCCACAGTGGCTGCCGGATCAGAGCTGGACTGTTCCTGGGATGGGAAGTGACGTTCCAGAAGAGGAAGGATGGGAGGGGAGGAGAAGCTGGGGAAAGAGGGCTTGAGTCCTGGCCCTGGCCCCTGCACTCATTTCTGAGACCTCAGTTTCTTCATCCATAAATAGGGGATCACATTGTCTCCCTGGCCCCCTTCACGGGGCTGGAATGAGGCTCAAGTGAGACACTGTGGGGGAAGGGAGTTTGGGGCAGGAATTACACTGAGCTTGTTTATATGAGCACCCCCAAATTCCTGGGGCCCAGACACACTGTGTCCCCCTTCCTAGGCCGGGGCTGGGCGGGCGTCCCTCCTCTGGGCTCCCACGGCCCCTTCTCATGACCCTAACCCCTGCGCACCTGCTTCTCTCTCTGTTCGGTGGGGCTGATCGCAGGCCCTGTTCATGGAGTTCTTGGGGGATGAAATGAGACCTCCCCTATGGAGGGTGAGCTCTGGGTGCCCTAATGACTGTGGACAATGTGGACAGGGTACCGCGAAGTGGGTGCAAGGGAGACCGCTCGCAGAGCAGCCTCGTGGGTAAGAGCGCAGGCTCTTGAGCTGGATGACACTGCCACTTCCTGGCTGAGACCTGGGCAAGTCACTTAATCCCTCTGTGCCTTAGTTTGCCCGTCTGTAAAATGGGAATGACGATAGACCCATTCTCATAGGTTGCTATGAAGGCCAAGGGGAACAAAGTAATCTATGGAAAGCCTTGGAGGGTGTACAAGCCTCAGAAAATGCTAGGCTGTTTCCCCAAAGTGAGTCCGTGAAGGCCTGGCCAGTTCTTGCTCGCTCAGATAGCCAGCATTTAGTGCAGTGCCTGGTACAGAGAACGTATTCAACAGACGTTTCTGGAAGGACTCTTGGAGTTCCAAGGTTGCAAACTGGCAGACACTATGCTTTTAAAATCCAGATTTGAACGCCTTTGGGGCCTGCTCACTCCAGTTTGCCAAAGTTACCACCACAGCCAAACATCTCACGCACCCTCCTCATCTCCGTTACCAGCCTGGCCCGAGAGCACGTGAGTTTTCTGGAGCCCTGTCTTGAGGGGGCTGAAATGGTGTGGGGTTCTCCCATTTCTGCAGCTGAAAAAAGGGGACCGCAGGAATGGGTGTAGAGCTAGACCATTACATCTGGACTCAAATCCAGCTCTATCTCTACCTGCTGGGTGACCTCGGGCTTTACCCTTCTGAGACTCAGTTTCCCCATCTCTACAACGGAGCTAATAACGATCCCTACCTGGGAGATTCCCAGGAAGATGCAAGGAGATCATGAATGTGCTTACCTCGCGGTGCTGTTAGAGGCTGGGGGTGGGTGCCTGTAAGTGCTTGCTATGGTGACTGAAACAAAATATGTGCTCAGTAAACGCCTGCTGAAGAAGGGGAGTGGGCGTGCTTACCAAGAGTAGTACTAAGCACGGCTGAGTCTCATTATCACCCAAACTGGGGCATTTTGTACGTGAGAAGGGGAGCTTTTAATTATTACAGCGAGGTAACTAGCTTGGCCAGGGACTGTCCTGGGCAAACGGGGATAAGTGGTCACCTTCCGCTTAATACTCAGTCGTCCTTGGGATGCCTCGGTGGCTCAGTCAGTTGGGCGTCTGGCTTTTGACTTCTGCTCAGGTTATGATCTCACAGTTCGTGAGATCAAGCCCTGCATCAGGCTCTGTACTGACAGTGTAAAGCCTGCTTGGGATTCTCCTTCTCTCTCTCTCTCTCTCTCTCTCTCTCTCTCTCTCTCCTTCCCCTGCTCACACATGCTCTGTCCTTCTCAGAATAAAAAGAAAATTCTCAGTCTTCCTTATGGGAGAGGCACATTATTAACCCAATTTACAAATGGCACACCGAGGCACAGAGAGGTGAAGTAACTTTCCCCAAACCACACAGCTAGGGAGCAGTGGAGCTGGTATTTGAAGCCGGAGGTCTGCTTCCTGAGCCTTGCTTGTTCCTCCACATGGACCAGGCCCGTCAGTTACTTTCTGGGACCCGCATGGGCATCATCCAGCTTTCCTTAGGGTCTGGAGCCCCCCTGGGGCCCGCAGCAGGGAGATGTTCTTGCATCTGCGGCAACGGGCCCCCTGTCCCCAACTCCGGCTGCCACCCCAGCCTGACAGTCACATCAGCAGAAGCAGCCGTCGGAGGGCGGGGCATGTCAGCTGTCTGGCTGTCACCGCCTCCCCGGGCAGCGCCTCTGCCGCGGCCCCCTCCAGGCGCTGTGGACGGAGCTGGGCAGATTCTAGTTGTGCCCTTGAAGTCCGGCTGCCCCTGCTCCCGGTAGCTACAGGTCAGTGCGCCCCCCACCCCCACCCCAGAGACCACCCCTGAAGAAAGTCCTCCAAAGGAAGTGGCCGTGGCTATTTCCTGCCCCTTATCACTGTCACTGTCACAGATCGACAGGCCTGGTAACCCACGCCGCCCCCGAGTCCCCTAGAAGTGCCAGAGCGGTCCCCAGCTAGACCCCTCACCTTGGCTTTTATGATGGTGCAGTGCAGGGAGCTGCTGTCCTGGTCTTAGAGGAGACTGAACTCCAGGGCTCCCAGGGTGGCTGAAGGCAGCAGAGGCAGGAACCAAGAGAACATTCATTCAGTCATTCAACAGACATTTCCTGAGCACCGACTAGGTGCCCAGGCTGCTCCAGGCACTGAGCCTGCAGGGAGGAAGCCTCGGTCCCTGCTCTGGGCTCACCGTCCTGACGGACCCTTCCCTACCTCGGAGCCCTCAGCCCACCCGTGGTCAGTTAATCGAGTGTGCGATTGCCTAGTTAATGACTTCCCATCCTGCTAGATTGAAAGCCCCATGAAGGCAAGGGCTGTGGCTGTCCTGTTCGCTGCTGGGCCCCCACTGGCCACAGTGCAGGACACACAGTCGGTGCTCGCTCGCTTGCTAAAGGAATAAATGAGTCTGAGCATTTGCTGTTACCTCTGCCTGGGATACCCTCCCTCTAGAACCTCACATGGCTGATGTCTTCTCATTATCCACATCTCAGCTGAAATGTCACCTCCTCAGAGAAGCCCTCGCTGACCGCTCCATCTAAAGCGGTCATTGCCCTATTTTATTTCCTTCTCGGTGTTCTATCTCTATTTGAAATGAACTCATGGGTAGGTTAACTGTTTCTCTCCACTAGAGTGTTAGTTCCGTTAGATTAGACGTCTCGGCTGCCCTTTTCTTTTCTGGCCATGGTGTCTCTAGCACCTAGAATAGTTTGGGGCACATAGTATGTGCTTGATAAGCACTTGTCGGCTATAGGGATGCGTGCATGAGGGAGTGAGCGGGATATAGTTGAATACGGTATAGGCTTGTTATAAGTCACCGGGGACAGGGCGTAAGGGGGACAGATACAAGCCGAGAGGGACTGTCCAGGCTTGGCAGGTCAGTGAAGAGACACTTAAGGCGGAAGGAAGGCGCGGTGGGTGCTGCTCTGGGTGGAAGTACTGGTCTGCAGAAAGGCAGAAATGTGGGCTGGACGCAGAGCATTTCCAAGGCAGGAAACAGTGCGTCCCCCACAAGGTGGTGGCGGGCCTCTCCGCCCTCCTTTCCTGACCCATGACCCATGGGAGAGTGCCGGGGACAGAAGCGGCAGCCGACATTTGATCCCGGTCCGTTTCACCTCGCTGATCTGCTACAGCGATGCGGTTGACCGGCAGCCCCTCCGCTCACTGGCCCTGTGAGGTTGGACCGGTCCCCGAAGCTCTCGGAGCCTCAGTTTCACTATCTGTGAAATAGGAATAGTAGAGGCAACTATTCCCAGGCCCAGCGGGAAGACCCAACAAGCAGGTGCACAGAACACACTTAGAATAGTGCCTGGCAAAAAATAAGTGCTCAGCAAGTGTGGACTATTATTACTTCTGATGTGCATACCACATAAATAATAATTATTCCTTTTGCATGTTTGGACTATCTAATGACAAATGGCTGCCAGTTTACCTCCCAGGAGGTAGCTGAGTGCACTGTCCCCTCAGCTCTGTGCGGGAGGCGGAATTCGCGTCCCATTTTACAACAAGGAGAGGTGACACGGTGGGGCCAAACCATGCGCTGATTGTGGCTGTCCGTCCACTTTTGAGTGGGTCCAGTCTGTCCACCTGACCAGGAGCCCTTGGGATGCCCCGAACCCCCCACAACACACGTTAGATCCAGACACGTATCCTTCCGTGCCTCCCTCCAGCTCACAAAGCACCCCCCCACCCAGCTGCTCCACACATGCCCGGGGTAAGTGCCATATGTGTGTGTGTGTGTGTGTGTGTGTGTGTGTGTGTCCCTAGGACTTCGGGTCTGAGTGACAGAGGGACAGAGCAGGCATTTTATAAATCACAAAAGGGATGGATGCAAGAGGAAATGTCTAGAAACTTTTAAATTATGGCCAAACAATTACTTTGAGAAGACACACAATAAAGAGTTTGGGAAACTAGTAACGTGCACACACACACACACACACACACACACACACATAGAAGTGAGATGCTGGGTCATGTGATAATTCTTGGCTGGCTGTGGACCCACCAAATACTGAACATCTGAGCATTGTCAATGTAGTTGAATTGTACCCTTAAAGTGATTTAGATGAAAAAGAAAATTTCAAACAGAGAGGGAGGCAAACCTCAGAGATTCTTGACTGCAGAGAACAAACACGGTGGGTGGGGGGAGAGGGGGAAATGGGTGCTGGGCACTGAGGAGGGCGCTTGTTGGGATGCACGCGATGAGACACGGGAATCTACCCCCAAGACCAAGAGCACATTGTATACACTGTATGTTAGCCACCTTGGCAACAAATATATATATAAAGTGATTTAAAGGGTAACTTTGATGTTATGTGTTTTTCATCACAATAAAAAATACACAGCACCGGGGTGCCTGGGTGGCTCAGTCGGTTGAGCATCCGACTTTCGCTTAGGTCATGATCTCGCGGTTCGTGGGTTCGAGCCCCGCGTCGGGCTCTGTGCTGACTGCCAGCTCAGAGCCTGGAGACTGTTTCAGAGTCTGTGACTCCCTCTCTCTCTGACCCTCCCCTGCTCACGCTGCCTCTCTCTCTCTCTCTCTCCTAGAAATAAATAAAACATTAAAAAAAAATACACAGCACCTATTCTTCAGAAAGCTGATGTCATTTTGTGAATTCAGCAACACGAACTTGTATCTTTATAACTTGATTAATACAGTTTATTCAGCTTGGCATACTGGGGGGCTATTCCTATGTCCCTGGGGACGGCACCCCCAAGTGACTTTCCCCAAACACGCCTCCCCTGAGTGCCACCTACTTGCTTCATCTGAATCGTAGCTGTTGGCTTCTTCCTCCTCATCCTCTGGGGGTGGGGGCTGGCGGGCAGGGGCCACGGCCACAGCGGGCTGGGGAGGCGCAGCCACTTGGGCGTAGGGGCCCGGTGGGTGGCCCGCTCGGTCGTCCCTGGGCCCAGCGGCTGAGTAGCCCCCAGCGGCCCCTGTTCGTTCCTCCCGGGGCGGGGCGGTGGCCCCTGCATAGCTGGGCTTGCCGGGAGCCACCTCTGCAGAGGAGGTGGGAGAGGCAGGAGAGAGGGAGTTGAGCCCCGGTATCATCACAGCAGCCACCACGGCAGAATTACCATTAGTGATGAGCACCTACTGTATACCAGGAGCTCACAAGCTTGCACCAGCACTACCCCGGCCCATGGAGGACCACCACAGCCGGTTGACCGGTTGACCGGGACAGGGTATGCGGGGCACACAATGTCATTCACCGATTCTCAGAATGTGCCTTTGTCAAAACCACCCAGGGAAGCTTCCAGAAATGCAGGTTCCCGGGCCCCTCCCAGACTGAGTAGGCAGTGCAGTGGGGCCTGGGAACGAGTCAAAACAAGGCAAAACAGACCTCAGGGGGGGTGGGGGGAACTGATCAGCAGTGTGGGCTCTGCAGCTAGACAGCCTGGGTTTGCATCTCTCCTGTGTGACCTGGGGCAAGTGACTTAATGTCTCTGAGCCTAAGTTTCTTCATCTGTCAAATGGGAATTATAATACCTGAAGATCCTGAAAGAGTATCAGTTATTATTTTTTAAATTATCTACTACATGAGGGGAGGGCACCTGGGTGGCTCAGTCAGTTAAGCATCTGACTCTTGATTCACGGTCCATGAGATCATGTCCTGCGTTGGGCTCTGCACTGATAGCATGGAGCCTTCTTGGGATTCTCTCTCTCTCCCTCTCTTCCCCTCCCCTGCTCGTGTGTGCATACTCTCTCTTTCAGAATAAATAAACTTAAAAGAACATAACCTACGACACACATACTACTTAGCACAGTACCTAGTGAGCTAGAAAGCAGTGATTAAGTGGTAGCCATGCTAACTGAAGATGACGTATAACATCATATGAAGAATCACTGTGACTTAGCATGACCTTAATCCACTCCAGGCCACGTGCTCAAGTTTTATGCGTATTCGTTTATTTAATCTTCTCATCAATTCTGTGAGGTCAGTCCTTGTATGATTCCCATTTTATTTGCTTTTATTTTTTGCTTATTTATTTTTGAGAGGGAGAGAGACAGACTGCGAGTGGGGGAGGGGCAGAGAGAGGGAGCCGCAGAGCCCTCTCTCAGAGCTGTCAGCACAGAGCCCGACACGGGGCTGGAACCCTTGACCCATGAGATCGTGACCTGAGCTGGAGTCAGGTGGTTAACCCACTGGGCCACCCCTGCGCCCTTCCCATTTTAGAGATAAGGAAATTGAGGCTCAGGGAAGGAAGTTAAGTGACTTGTCCAGGGTCACATGGCTGGGAAGAGAAGGCGCCAGGATGTGAATCCAGGCAGTCCGTGCTCTTAGCCACTATGTGCTCTGTCCTTTCCTATTTCCTCTTAGCAAGGATTATTTACAGCTTTAGAATCAGGGGGCCCATTTTGGCTCATCCGATGGGTCTCTGGGCTGGGCAGGCCGGGCGAAGGTCTGGCAGCCCCTGCTCTCTCACACGCAGCGGGACGGGGGTGGGAAGAAGGGAAACTTACGTGGCCGCTGATCTGGAGAGCGTCCTGCTGGCCCAGGGCTGGGCTTGCTGCCTCCCGGAGGCCCTGAACGGGGAAAAGAGACAGATGGAGCCGAGAAGGTGGCATGATTTGGGCGTTCTTCCCTGCCCCCCCTCATTTCGGGGGCGTGGACACGGGCCTGGGGGCAGCAGGCGATGTGAAGGAGTCCCCGGGGCTGCAGGAATGGTCCCGACGGGGACTCTGGGCTCAGAAAGGCGTGGGTTCAAGCCCCGCTGCTTCCTTCCCGGGCCTCGGCCCACCCTCCATGCATTGCGGACGGCTGCACCTGCTGCTCAGGTTTCACGGGCTGTTACGAGGCTGGTGAATGAATGGAGAAAGAGTTGGTTGTGAGGTGGCAGGCACGTTTGTACCCTGAGCCCCCATCGCTACGGGGCCACTGCCGGTCCAGTGGACTGTTTACAACTACGTTTCCCAAAGCCTGGGATGCGGGGCAGAGCGATAACGAGGGGACATGAAATATCGCTCACCCCACAGTGAGAGAGTCGTTTCAGTTTCCACTGCCTTTCACTATTCCATCGCTGGAAACATCTCATTTAGGTGCTTCTTTATCTCTAGCACGTCTCTAACCTTTGTGAATTTCCCTTCTGAGCCAAAAAAAGAAAAAGGCAGGCCTCAGGCTCAGAACCTTCTGCAGGCCGGCGTACTGAGAATCTCACTGCGTGGTTTTATTTTCCTTGCATTAGTTTTTAGAACTCCCTTCTGCAGCGGGTTGAATTGTATTCCCCCAAAGGATGTTGAGGTTCTAGCCCTCAGTTCCCTGGGAGTGTGGGCTTATTTTGGAAAGAGGTTTCTTTGCCGAGGATCAAGTTAAGATGAGGTCATCAGGGCGAGTCCTAATGCCATACGGCTATGTCCTTATAAGAAAGGAAAAGTCTGGGCACAGAGAGAGATGGTCATAGAAAGTCAACAACATGAAGGCAGAGGGAGAACGCCACCAAACAGTTAAGGATGGTGTGGGTCACCGGAAACCGGGAGACAGGAAGGAGCAGATTCTCCCTCACAGCCTCCAGGACAAGCTGCCACGGCCGGCACCTTGATTTCGGACTCCCGGCCTCGATGTATTTCTGTTCCTTCAGGTTTGTGGTACTTTGTTATGCAGACCTAGCAAGCCGATCCGTATCCTGAGGGTTCTGGCATGATTACAGGTTTCTCTTAAAATAGCAAAATGTTGGGGTGCCTGGGTGGCTCAGTCGGTTAAGCGTCCAACTTCGACTCAGGTCATGACCTCACGGTTTGTGGGTTCGAGCCCCGCGTCGGGCTCTGTGCTGACAGCCAGCTCAGAGCCTGGAGCCTGTTTCAGATTCTGTATCTCCCTCTCTCTCTGACCCTCCCCCTCCCCTGCTCATGCTCTGTCTCTATCTTTCAAAAATGAACAAACATGGGGCGCCTGGGTGGCTTAGTCGGTTAAGCGTCCGACTTTCGCTTAGGTCATGACCTCACGGTTTGTGGGTTCGAGCCCCGCGTCGGGCTCTGTGCTGACTGCCAGCTCAGAGCCTGGATGGAGCCTGTTTCAGTCTGTGACTCCCTCTCTCTCTGACCCTCCCCTGCTCACGCTGTCTCGCTCTCTCTCTCTCCCAGAAATAAATAAAACATTAAAAAAAATTTTTTAAAAAATGAATAAACATTTAAAAAATAATAAAATAGCAAATTTTTAACTGCGCCAATTAGGCATTGCTCCTGTTTTATGCAATCCATATTTGTTTGGATTTTCCCATATGGCTCGTCTCTTTGGCCACCATTTTTTCCTGAATTTCACACTACTGCTCTGGGAACAATCTGTCCCCAACATTTCCTTGAGAGAGAAGTTTGGAGATGGCAAGTTCTTTCGGGTGCGTTCTTCCAGTGAACCAATTTGAGGAAAGATGTGAAGAAATGAGAGAGCAGGCGGCAGATGGATGAGGAAAGGGTGGTGAAGGAGAGTGACCGACAATGAGAGGTGAAGCCGGGTCACTGCACGTGGCGGGCTGCTCCTGCCCCGCCCCCCCCCCCCCCAGGGTTACTCATCCTGAGGGTCTTCGAAGAGCTGAGGGTTTGGTGGTGGCTGTGGCTTTGCACAAAGCCGGGCGGGGCTCTGCAAGCAAGGACGGGAGGCAGCGGGGTCCCAGCTGAGTGCAGGGGTGGGGGGCGGCTGGTACCTGGCTGCCCGGGCTGTGGAGGTGCTGGGCTCTGCACGGAGGGGGGGGCTGGTCTGGAGGCCTGGACTGAGTTTGCCCGTCGCAACCCTGCAGGGGAAAGGAAAGGAGATAGTCAGGTTACACACACACGCACGCACGCACGCATGCACACACACACACACACACACACACACAGTGGAAACAGGAGGGACCCTTGGGGCTGGTCAGCTGGCACGCGGTAGTGCCTTCTGGGTTTGAACTGCGCGCAGGCCCTGATGCTGCTCCTCCAGACCCTCTCCTCCCCTTCCAGTGCCTTCGCACTTTGCAACACTCAGACGCCCCACATCAGGTCACGGCAACAACACGGGTGCTGCAAAGGGAAGGATGTCACCTCCACCTGTGTGACTTTGCACAAGCAACCTATTCTCTCTGGGCCTCAGTCTCCTCATCTGCGAAATGGGGGTAATAGTACCTACTTTAGGGGGTTGTGGAGGAGCTGCTGCGATACAAGACAGGCGACGTGCCCAGGCAACAGAGCCTGGCATGGAGTCAACCCTGAACATTATTATTCTTGAATCTGCTCTCTATCCTTACATGGACCCAGCTCTGCAGCCCAGTTTCTTGTGACTTTAGGATGGCTGCTCACCCTCTCTGAATCTCTGAGCTCTATCTACTGATAATGAGCTATCATATATGCTTGCCCTGTTCTAGGGACTTTACATATAAGAAGTTATTTCATAGCTATACCCCATGAGGTGGGCGCTGTATTACCTCCATTTTACAAATGGGAAAGCTAGGCACAGGGGGCTAAGGAGCTCACCTAACGTCTCTTGCCGGGCTAGTGGCAGAGCCAGGGTTTGAACTCAGGCATTTGGATCCCAGAGCCTGAGACCATTAGGTGCTACTGTCTCCTGAAGAGCTATGGGGGCACCAAATGGGTTCATGGACACAGCAGTTCCTGGCATCCAGAAGGCATGACATTCTTGGAAGAAAGTCCCTTCTCACTTCACTGGGCTGAATCCCACCCTTCCTGAACTCAGCACCCTGTCACTGGAGAGATGCTTGAATGCTAATGACAGAAGGTGCTTTGACACCTCTGGCTGGGGGCTGGCCAGTCCCTCTGTCTTGTCCCTGGGTCCCGTACTAGTTCTGCGTTTTTGTCCATCTGGGTCCTTGTTCATTCCTTCATTCATTCACTCACTCACTCACTCACTCACTCATTCATCAGGTGTCCATTGAATGTCTACCAAGTGCCAATCCTTGTGTGAAGATGGACAAAACCCCTCTTCATTCCTCCAGGAGTGGCTGGCCCCCACGGAGGGAGGAGGCGGACGCCGAAATAATGAGTTTATATAACAGCAATAATAGCGAACATCCACTGAGTGCTTCAAATGCACCAGGCTGTGAGCCTCGCTTCAGGGAACCCTCTCAACTTGATGTTACATGTGGTGTTATGGTTCCCATTTGTGGTTGGAAACACGGAAGTTGAGTGTGCCCAAGGTCATGTATCTAGGAAGTGGCTAGGACCTCTGACCAAGTTTACCTGGCTCTGGACTCCGTCTTCAGCTATCGTGCTACACCTGCCCCCAGAAGGGAGAAAGTGAATAATAGTGCACACCAGCCCTCACGGCGTGCCAGGCTCTGCTCTGAGATCTTTACAAGTTTACTTCATCCTTTAGAGCAACCCAATGAGATAAGAATGATTACTGTTATCCTTTCCATTCGATAATAAATGAAAGTCCTGTGTCCTGATCTGTAAAAGGGGAACACACAGCTGGTAAGTGGTAGAGTTGGGATCTGACCCCACACAGTCTTTGATCTGGTATTTGTGCACTTGACATTGAACTGAAATGGCCTTCCAGATAAAGAAATAACATCGCTGGGGGTGGGTGGAGGTGAGAGGCGACCTCTGACTGGGTCAGAGGGACACGCTTCACAGTGAAGGTGGCCTTTGGATTTGGAGTTTGGGTTTTTCCAACCCAAATGGAGGTCGTTGATGCACAGTTGACCTCTGCAGTATAAAGAAAAGTCAGGATAATTCTGGTTTATTCCATGGCACTAACTCCAGGTCCTAGATCTGGGGAAAAGGGAGCCCCGGAAGGTGTCAGGATTACTGAATGGAAAATGCAGAGCTCAGCTGATTCTTGTCAAGGATTTGGGGCCCGAGTTGCAAGTCACCCTCAGCACTGCAGACGGAACTCCCTCTGGGGTTTAGTCTCATCACTGAGGGCTCACGGCATGATCAAGCCTTTTCTTACACGGCAAGGGCAGCTGGGCTACTGAAGACCAGGAACATTGCAATCATCCCTTCCTCAGATGGAACAAAAATGGTGACACAGACATGTCTGTGGTTTGGAGCACCAGACCCGCCTGACCGACCTCAGTGCCCCAACATAGCATTTGCCTTGCCATGGCTATGAAACATGTGAATGATGTAAAAATACAAGATGCTGGCTCTTCCTCTGCTCCGTATCCTTCTTAGGCTCCCTAACTCCCTCAGGAAAAAAAATCCAAACTCATTTATCTGACTTTTCAGGCTCTCAAACAATGATTCTCAAACTTCAGCATTCACTGAAATCCCATGAGGAGTTTGCTTAAGAAGTGCAGAGTCCAGATCCTGATCCCAGAAATTCTGATTTCGTAGGTCTGGAATGGGGCAGAGGAACCAGTGCTTTGAACCTTGTAACCTAAGGTACATGGATCTGCTGACCCCCTGTCTTCTACTGCTCTCTCAGGGAGAGGGATTCTGGCTACAATATGCTTAGATGGTGACAAGCACTGATTAGAGCTGTGTCAGTACTCTGGGACTTCATAGGAGGGAGCAATGAACTCATTTCAAGGTACAGCAGGGGAGAAGCTATAAGTTTCATAGATGAGCTAGAAGTTTCATAGAACATTTCACTGACTCAAGGGAGAGGGGATCCAAATCTGGCTCAGGAATACTGTCAGACTGTCTTTTCCCTCAACAGGCAAAATAACACACAGGCTAAAAGCACAGTCTTCAATATAAAAAAGGTAACTGAAAATAGATTTAAAAATAGATCAAAGACCTAACTTTAAGAGCTAAAGCTAAAACCACAAAACTCTTAGAAGAGCACATGCAGAGAAAACGTCATGACATTGGCTTTCGAGTGACTGTTGGAATATGAGACCGAAAGTGCAGAGAACAGAAGAAAAATAGAAAAATTGGGCTTCATCAAAATTAAAAACTTCTGTGCATCAAAGGACACCATCCATGGGGTGAAAAGGCAACCCACAGAAGGGGAGAAAATATCTGCAGATCACAGATCTGACAAGGGATTAATATCCAGAATATATAAAGAACTCCTATAACTCAACAATAATAAAACAAACATCCCAATTGGAAAATGGGCGAAGGACTGGAACAGACATTTCTCCAGAGAAAATATACGAATAGCCAATGAGCACGTGAAAAGATGCCCAATGTCACTAGTCATCAGGGAAATGCAAATCAAAAACATGAGATACTGCTTCACACACATTAGATGGATACACACACACACACACACACACACACACTATATATATTTGTATATTTCTTGTATATTTCTGGTGAGAATGTACAACTGGTGAAGCCACCGTAGAACCCAGTATGGTGGTTCCTAAAAAAATTAAGCATAAAATTACCATATGATCCAGCTATTCCACTGCTACATATATATACCCCCGAGAATCAAGAGCAGGAACTCAAATCAATATTCGCGCACCAATGTTCTTTATGCACAACAGCCGGAAGGTGGAAACAGCCCAAATGTCCATCAGCAGATGAATGGATAAACAAAATGTCTACCCACAAAATGCCACATATTGTGTTGTGTAATTATATTTATATGAAATGTCAAGAATAAGCAAGTCCATAGTGGTTAGTGGTTACCATGGCCTGGGGGGGGGGTGGCGAAGATGGAATGGGGAATTCGTGTCTAATGAATACAAAGCTTCGGTTTGGGATGATGAAATAGTTCTGGGGATGGTTAGTGGTGATGGCTGTATGACAATGGGAATGCACTTGGTGCCCCTGAACTGTATACTTCAAAATACTTGAAATGGTAAATTTATTATTAGTGTATATTTTCCACCATTAAAAAAAGTTTTTTTTTTCTTTTAAAAGCATTGTCAATAAAAACCACCTCTGGAAGGGGAAAAACAAGAAGCACAGGCTCTAATGTTGGACAGACATGGGTTTAATTTCCACTTGAACCAAATAGTTGTCTGATTTAGGGCAAATGGCATCAATTCTCTGAACTCAGTTTCTCCATCTGTTAAATGGGAATAACAGAAGTCTTTCTAACAGGAATTGGGGGTGTGACAAGGATCACATGAGATGATATACGTGAAGAGCTTGGGACAGTGCCTGGCCCGTGGTAAGTACTCAACAAATATTCCATGGTGTTGTAGACCTGAGAAACTCTTCTTTTTCTATGAATCTGAATCACAGGTTCAGTAGGGGGTGTGCACAGTGGATTAAGCACAGGGTATGTGTCCAGCTCTCTTGCCAGGAAGAAGAGGCACTAAGGGTCTATGCGACAAACCCACTATTCAGGAAGAGAAGTCAGAGGTCAACATGAGATCTAAACATTCAGCCCATCTAACTGTGGACCAGGCCCAAAAGTCCAAGTCCAGGAATCAAGGATTCTCACCGGTGTACCCTCTCACCAAATAAATCTGCCCTGAGTGCAGCCAGAGGTGCTGGGCATCCAATGAGATGAGGAACGTTCTGGCCATGCTGACCCACCCCATCCTCATGGACGGCGAAGAACACCGGCCAAGAGAAGGAAGAACTTGGGTGGGTCTGTGAGAGGGAAGCTTCCCTACTGTGCTCAAAAGTACGTTGCATTTTTCCCAGAGTTTCCAGGGAGGAGGACAAAAAAATCCACATCTTCCTGACATTTGGCCCTAGAGCAGGAAAAGAATATAACCCCAAGTATGGATGTGTAGGGTGGGAATTGTTTCTGAGTTCTGTCTTTCCTCTACCGTAGACTAGAACCAGCATCTAGAACAGAGCCTGGCACCCAGTAGACAGATACTCAATAAATGCTGACCGAATAAATGAATTAAAACATGATCCTCCCCTCCCCCCAATTCCTTTTGATTCTCCTCATCCAGGAAGCCCATCTAGATTTGCCCACGTCTCCTACCGGCTGGGCTCCGGCTGGAGTCGGCAGCGGCCCCACCGTGGCTGTGGTCCCAGCTCTCTGGGTCCCGGCTGGATGAGCTCATGCGTGCCTCAGAGGCCCTGCGCACAGGAGGCCCATAGCTTCCTCGCCCTGGGGCAGAGGCCAGGTCAGGACCTGGAGGGAAAAGCATGCATTAAACGGAGAAAGGGCAAGGGAGGGATGGGATCGAGTAGAAGACCGAGTCGGCAGGACCTACCTGTCTTCTGACCTGGGCCCCTCCGGTCTTCAGTGTCACCTGGAGAGAGAGAGATGAGAACCATTGTTTTATGGTTTCTGGAGGGCCGTCACTTAAGGAACACACAAAGGGGCCCATGGCCACTCCTAGCAACTTTTAAAAGGTGAACTGAAAGTCTCTTCTCCTTTCTTCCCCTGTGATGTAGCTCCTGTATACAATCTCACATGATTCCTTGGCATGCACACACACTCGTGAGCACACACAGGCTTTCAAAAGAGCAACCTGGGATCCTCAGCCCATGAGCATAACACTGTTCTAGAATGTGCTCTGTTCAATTGATTTGATTTTCCCCAAGACTCATGCACCAAGCGTGCTCCAACCTCAAGCCCTTTTGCACACCACACTCCCAAACCTTTCCTGAGCCCTCTCTACACTTCTCCCCAAACCCCATCTCCGCAGATAGCCCTTCCGTGGCCATTCCATCCACCCCAGAGCCTCTTGCCATGTCTGTCCCCTTCACTGGCTTCACTGTGCCTCTGGCTGTCATCACCACCTGATATTCTATTTATTTGCATGTGCTGTTTGTTGAGCATCTGTTTCCTCCAGTAGAATTTTAGCTGCACCAGGGCAAGGATTTTGTCTGTTCCATTTATCACTGTCTTCCTAGGCACAGAACAGAGCCTGGAGCTCGTTGGGCATTCAGTAAATATTTGTTAAAGGAATATTGTAAGCTCCTATCGTGGGCATAATTCAAAATCTATAATACACATTTACATCATTCCACTCTAAAAGATGCCTAATATAGGCATAGTGTGGCTATATCATAATTCATTAAACCAGCCCAGTAATGAACATTTTGGGTTTTCCAATGGTTCTGCTATCATAAATAATGATACAATATACTCACACGTGTATCTTTTTATATTGGTTCTTTTAAATCTTTTTTATGTTTATTTTTGAGAGAGAGAGAGAGCACAAGCAGGGGAGGGGCAGAGAGAAAAAGAGACACAGAATCTGAAGCAGGCTCCAGGCTCAGAGCTGTCAGCCTAAAGCCTGATGCAGGGCTCGAACTCACAAACAGTGAGATCATGACCTGAGCCCAACTCAGACGGCTTAACCGACTGAGCCACACAAGCGCCCCTATATTGGTCCTTTTGTTGCTGTTAAGTATATTCCCAGATAGGGATTGCTGGATCAAATGGTATATACACTTCAAATTTTAATAAATTCTCCCATAGTACTTTTCAAAAGGCTGGAGGCGATTTACAGTCCTACCAGCAGTTTATAGGGTATTAATTTCCCGCACATTCCTCAGCACTGGATGTCATTACCAATAATTTTTTTAGGTGTCACTATGCATCGCTGGTGATGTTACTTCTTTCTAGTGCCATGAGTGGGTATCACATCAACCATAGTTTTGGAGTTATTTGTTTTGTCCAGAGTTTGTCTGATAAGCTAATTCATACTATTTACGTGTGTGTCTGTGTCTAGGTGATTGACATGATATAACATTGGCCAACATTTACTAAGTGCTACATTCTGCAAAGCACCTCCCATGTAGTATCTCATTTAACCTTCAAAATAACCCAGTGAGTTAGTCAGCCCATTTCACAGGTGAGGGAAGAGTTTCAGAGGGCCAGGTGACTCGCCCAAGCTCATGCGGCTGGTAAGTAGCAGAGAACTGAGATTCAGGTGCTTCTGGTCTCAGATGGCCCAGACCTTGACAGTTAGACTATGTAGTCTTCTCAGCCTACAGGGAATAGTGCTTAGTCAGGAAGAAGGATGTTCTGAGGGTGAATGTGGGGGCTCCTCAGGGAGAACTGGGTATTTCTCTGCCAGGAGTATAAATTGCTCATGCCATGGCAGGAAGAAAGCATTTGCTGAGTGCCACGTGGGTGCCAGGCACTACCCTGGGCACCCTGAGAAGTCATCTCACAGGAGGCATAGTTGGACATTTGAACTTTTGAGACCTTCAGCTATAACTTTCCTTTCAGAAACTGCCTTCACTCAACTCCAGGACTGTCGTTCAGGCCAGATTTTATCACTTAGTGTTAACTGAAATTATCACAGGGGCCTCTTCTGGTCAGACCTAATGGTTTCACTCAATTATGATATATTTTTATTGTAGTTGCTTTTTTTCGCCTTTCCTTTTTATTGTCATTTTACTAATTAATCATAATACTTGGGTAATAGTGGTAATATTCACAGTCATGATAATTTTCTTTTATTAATTTCCCTTTTACTCAACTTTCACTTTTAATTGGTACAATTTCAGATATGCTGATGGTTGATAGCAGAAGTATCAGGGACAAGTAATGCCTTCCAGCAAGTCCCCCCTACAGGCTCCAGTGTGTGTTTTGGTGATGGGAGCCTCTCAGCTTCTAGTTTTAACATCCACCCCTGTCGTGCCTCTAAATACCTTATCAGGGATGACAATGAAAGCATTTGGCAGCCTGACATTGCTCGAGACTTCCCTGTTCTACCCTCTTTTTAAAAACAGTTTTAAATTCCACTATTACACAATAGTACTATTGTATAACACTATACAATAGTGTCATATTAGTTTTAGGTGTACCATATAGTGATTCGACACTTCCATACAACACCCGGTGCTCATCATGACAAATGCCCTCCTTAATCCCCATTGCTTATTTCACCCATCTCCCCCATCCCCCACTCACCCCCGTGACCCTCAGTTTGTTCTCTCTTATTAGGAGTCTGTTTCTTGGTTTCTCTCTCTCTCTCTTTGCTCATTTGTTTTGTTTCTTAAATTCTACATATGAGTGAAATCCTATGGTATTTGTCTCTGACTGACTTATTTTGCTCTGCACTGTACTCTCTAGCGCCATCCATGTCATTACAAATGGCGAGATTTCATTTTTTTATGGATGAGTAATATCCCTGCATGTGTGTATATGTGTGTGTGTGTGAGATATATATATATATCTCACATCTTCTTTATCCATTCATCAATCGATGGGTACTTGGGCTGCTTCCATATCTTGCTTATTGTAAATAATGCTACTATAAACACAGGGGTGAATGTGTCCCTTTGAATTAGTGTTTTTGTATTCTTTGGGTAAATACCCAGTAGTGCCACTGCTGAATCAGAGGGTAGTTCTATTTTTAACTTTTTGAAGAAACTCCGTACTGTTCTCTACAGTGGCTCGCTATGCTACCCTCTTGACAAAGGTTCATGGTGAGTTGTGCAGAGGACACAGGGGTCCTAAATCCAGAGGGTGGCTGGCTGTCCACCGACTGGGTGAAAACACAGACATGATGTCAGGACGTCCTCTGGTAGACCAGTTAGCCAAGGTCTGTCCGTGGTCCTGAAAGGAGAAGCTCTTTTGTCTTACCTCGGGTTGGAGCTCGGGCTGTAAGCTTGGGCTCGGGAGTGACCTGCTCAGGGGCAGCAGGCTCACTGACAGGCTGCTGGGGCTTGTTCTTCCTTATAGGCATAGGCTGTGGGAGGACCTGTTTGGGGAACCCCTTGAAGAACCATGCTCCAGAACGCTTCCACACCTGGGGGAGGACAGGGAGAGGATGAAGGCATGGCAGCCACGCACCATTAGCCCTGCCTTCGTGAGTGCCAGTTTTTAACTTGGCTCCCTGCGCTCAGCAGACTATAGCAGACACACTATGTAGCTCATCACAATTCCTATTTGATTCACGCAACAACCCCAAACACTCCATAGAGAGGGCCTGAGTATACCCATCCGCTTGATGGAGAAAGTTGAATATCAGAAAGGTGATGAGCTGGTATAAGGTCACGCAGCGAGAGAGTGGAAGAACAATAACTGAGCTCCAAGCCTGCCACCTCTTACATGCAGCGTGCTCCCTACATCTAGGAAGAGTCAAGTCACAGAAGCAGGAGAAGAGAAAAGAACTACATCCAAACACTCATTGAACGTTCCGCCAGTGTTCACAGCAGAGCTGGTTCCATGGTACCAGTCCCTCAAGACCTACACCTGCCAGGCTCCCCAGCCCTCAGTGGCCACCCTGCTTTGCTGCTTACAGTGAGGAAGGGGAAGCGGGCAAATAAGTCACCTGACCAGTCCACTCACCTCTCTCTGCTCGATGCAGATTTTGCAGAGCCACACGGAATGCGGGCGGTTGTTGGAGGTCTCCACCCCACACTTAGTGCAGACGTTCTGGGGACAAGACATAGCCCGGTGCACATTCACATATGCCAGGCTCTGGGCTGCCGGTGGTTGGGGCGAAGGGGCTGGGAGGCAACAGAGCCCCATTCTCTCTTGGTGGATAGAAAGACCTTGAACTCCCCATTTCTCGCCTCCCTCCCATACCAAGGCCAGTTGAAATTAAAGTTCCAATTTGAGTCTTGATTTCCAATAACAAGAACTGGAGTCCTTCTCCAGCTGGAGGGGGGGATTCTCCTGAATTTTCCAAGAGTCTCTGTGAGGTCTGAATTTTCAGCATTTATACCGGGGAGATCACTGACGTGATTTTTAAAGAGGAAAAGCCACATATTTATTTTCCCCTGTTTCTTTCCTTTTTCTTCCTTCCTTCCTTCCCTCCCTCCCTTCCCTCCCCTCCCCCTCCCTTCCCTCCCTTCCTCCCTCCCTCCCTCCTTTCTTCCTTCCTTCCTTCTTTCCTTCCTTCCCTCCCTCCCTTCCTTTCCCTTCCCTTCCCTTCCCTTCCCTTCCCTTCCCTTCCCTTCCCTTCCCTTCCCTTCCCTTCCCTTCCCTCCTTCCTTCCTTTCCACGTGAATCTGACATCACCTAGATTATGGCTGCAGGCTTAGCCCCTCAAGGAGAAGAAAGTTACATGTGTAAATGCCATGACTGACGGAACATTATACTTTTGGCTGAGTTTCCTGGCAGTCAAGACAAAATGGAAACCCGAACAAGTCTCGGAATTTTTACCATGTGGCTGACTGCAGTAGACAAGTTTTTGGGCATAAACTTTCCCCAATACTGCATTCTAAATGCTATGTGGGACTCCAAGTGGGAGATGCTCAGTGACATTCTGGATGTCCCCGGCTCACGTGTTCCCCTGAATTGCTTTCCTGGGAATTCGGGCAGACCCAAGGACAGCTGTATCTGTGTCCTGGAATTGTCAAGTGCAGACAGCTTGAGGAGAGGGTGCAGGATGGAGGGAGACTCCTTTAAGAATGAATGCTCAGGAAGCCCGACAGCCCTAACTTGGCTGGAGAGGGGCTTTCTAAGCCAGGGTAAGAGGAGATGCTGGGTAAACCTTCCATGTTCACACAGGTGTAGACACCTTCCTGGCATATTCTTTAGCCTGGCACATAGCTTGCTGAGCTACAACCAGGATAACTTCAGGGTCAACCATAGCCATGGCCTGCCTCAGGCTCCCAAGTTCATTCTAGATGGAGCTGAGCTCCAAGGGGACAGAAGGGTCAGAGCATCTTCCAGAAGAGGAATCAGGGTTCAGGGTTGCCTAGAAGACACCTGGGCATGGGAGCATCCCCAAAGGAATCATATTCTAGCAACTACCCTTCAGGGTCCAAGCTCCATCCCTGAGACCCAGGGCCCCCCCAGTCTCGAGCCCAGGCTTAGCCCTCTGCACGTGATGAGCAGGGAAGCATGAAAGAGGAGGGTGACTGTACCTTCTTACAGTCCTCACACACCACACAGGCGGAGCCCAGCATCCCCAGCTGTTCTCCGCAGAGTATGCAGCGGTTCACCCCATCCCCTGCCACGTTCTTCCTCATGTTCTCCAGACGGTCCACCAGGCGCCTGGAAGCAGAGACAGAGTAGTGAGGGCCTAGGAGGCCCAGGGACCACCAGCATCTCCCACAGTATCAGGCTGATGGTCTTGACCTTCTCTGAGTCATGGACTCCTGAGTGTCTGATGGGGACTCTTGGACGCTTCCCCAGAAAAAGGCACGTGTACGTGAAATTCTGATACATTTTCAGAACACCACAGACCCAGATCTCCTACCTCCTTCTTTTGACTTCAGATTAAGCACCTTATTATCTAGACTTTCTGTCTCATGTCACCTCCTCCAGAGAAACTGCCTTGTGAGCTCCAGATCCCTTTATCTAATCGTCTACATGACATCTTCACTTGGATGTCTTCACGGCCATCTCAAAGTTTACTTTCAGCTGCTCCTCATCTGGACTTTTCTCCAGCCCCAGCCCAGCCCACTGCTCCCATTCTCAGGGGGGAGCCTGACCCAACTGACCCAGCCCTCCATGGACTGGGTTCCAGCTGGGGGCACCATGAGCGTGACAACCATTGGGATACAACTTGGGTACCACAGGCTCCAGAGGGACCCCGGCAGCCACCTGATGCCAATTTTCCCCACCAGCCCTCTTCGCTCCTACCACTCCCTCGACATGCTCTGATTTGCAGTGTTAAAAATAGCAGCTTCTCCCTTTGTGTTTCATTCAACAGAGAGCCGCTCTGCCCAGGGAAGAGCCAAGAGCACCCTGCAGGCTCCTGAGCCTCTGCTGTGACCCAGATCCGACGGAGCCCTTCAGGAGGAAGGGCGCGCAGAGCCAGAGGCAGCATGCGCCTCCTTCCCTCCTCCTCATCTTCCCTCCCCCCCCCGTGTTTTCCCTAGAAATTATTTTTATAGGATGATGGGTGGGGCAGTAACCAGGAGTGAGCCCCCCAGCCCACAGTCTCAGGTGACCTAGAATAGCTGATGTGTACTGAGCATTTACTACGTGCCAGGTGCAGAGATAAGCACTCCACATCAATTTTCTTAATGACTCCTTCCAGTATTACCATAAGCTGAGTGTTATTCTTGTCCCCATTTTCCAAATGGGAAAACTGAGGCACAGAGAGGTTAAGTGATTTATTCAAGTCACGCAGCTGAGAGGTGGAGAAAGCTGGGATCCAGACCCAGGCAGTCTGTCCTGAATCCCTGTTCTTTATTATTATTATTATTATTATTTACTGTTATTGTTATTATTGTTTTATTTTGAGATAGAGAAAGAGAAAAAACACAAGTGGGGAAGAAGCAGAGAGAGAGGGGGAGAGAGAGAGAATCCCAAAAAGGCTCCACACTGTCAGGATGGAGCCCGATATGGGGCTCAAACCCACAAACCATGAGATCATGTCCTGAGCCGAAGTCGGCTGCTTAACTGACTAAGCCATCCAGGTGCACAATGTCTTTGTTCTTAACTGCAATACCAGCCTGCTGCTATGTGCAAGGAGGGCCATGGGAATCTTCTTGAACAGTCTGATTTCACCCTGCTGCATCCCCCTACAGTCTCTATACCAAGGGACCCTCGATCATTGGTAAGAACCAAGTTACACACACCCATTTACCCCAGCTGGGTCTGTCCTCACTTCCCTGAGCTTGGCACAAGACACCCAACAGCTGCCCCGTCATTTTGTTTCCCCAAAAAGCCCTTAATGGAGGGTTGAAAAATCTGCCTCTCTGAGCTTCGGTTTCCTCGCCTGTAACAGAAGGAGTTGGGCAGTCACTCTGTGCTTTTGGAGGCCCCAGAGGTCAGCAGAGCCAGTTCATGGGCCGCGCACTGTAGTGGTGGGGGGCTTCTGAGGGGCCAGGAAACTGCACTTCACGCACAGCATCTCAGCATTCACCCGTTCTGTTTGTTTGGGCTGTGGAATCATATTTCCTCTGGAAAGTCACAGTTTGAAGAAACAGTCTAGGGCAGATAAGCTTCAGGCTGCCCTGCGATGCCACAGAATTATCAAATATGATGAGACCATGAGGTGACCTGGTGGAGGCAGGGGATGGTAAGTGCACAGCGACATTTTTCTTGTCCACACCCTCTATCACAGGCTGCCTCCAGCCTGTGCGGCCCCAGCCAGACCAGTCAGATTGTGTTCTCCCCACTCTGTCAGTGCGGTCCCAAAGCACAGAGAAGGTGAGGGGCTTGCCTGGGGTCGCTCCACCAGTGCTAAAATCTAGTCCTCTCTGTGTCGGTAAGTCATCTTTGCTTTCCACGGAGCCTTCTTGGCTTCCTGCCTCAAGTCAGTCCCCAGGAAACCAGCATGGGACAGATGACCCAGTTCCAAATGGCGGTGTGCTTTGCTTAGGAAACTTAAGAGGACTTCCTGCTTCCTCTTGGAAAATCAAGGCCACAGAGTCACTCGTCACTTGCGAAACCCATGCTATGAGGCTCCACCAAGATGCCTCTACCTTCCGCTGGTCCCTCCTAAATGCTGAAAGGCGCCATTAACGGGTCTTATATGGGGAGTGTCTCATTAGCTTCTCTCAGTGCAGCAAATGGCACGGAAAAACAACAGATTTAAGATCATTATTCAGATGCCTTAGCTCAGGGACTCCTGTTATGTGTGAAACCAGTAGAAACCAGTAAAGAGAGGAGCATGTGGGGTGGGGGGAACAGACCTTCCTTCTCTGCTCCCAGATCGGTTGAGCAGGGGGTTTCCCACGGCCCACTGATTTTGACATCCTCTCTGTAGCCCCAAGTGCTGGGGTCTCCACATGGAAGGCCCCAACAGCCAAAGACTATACATTTGGAAATGAAATTTGGCAGGAAGCTAGGTCAAAACATGTCATGGAAGACCACAAAGACAGAGGGGTCTTTATCCTGGTGATAAGCTGTTTCAGTGTCTTCATTCCAACGAAGGAATGCTTGTTGTTACCAGTCTCGGTAGGAAAACCCGATACGTACCGTGAAAGATGCCTGGAAACTTCCATGCACGTGAGTTACCCAGACAGCATTCAAAAAGAATCTCAGCCCTGTTGAGAACCACTGCGTGGGGGGAGGGGGGCGTTCTTGAAACCTATGGTGCCTCTAGATCACTTGGGGAGAGCGTGCGACACGCAGGCAATGATTCTGTGGGGTGGCGGTGGGGCCTGGGAGTCTGCATTTTGAAGTGGCTCCTGGTGAATCCCGGCCACACTCTGGGAAGCGCTGTAGAAAGGAAAGGAGCAGTCGGGCAAACCGCATGGGAAACGCTCTCCTTGTGTTAAAGGGATGAAAAATACCCCAAACCCCAGGATGTAGAGTCAGGGTGTGAACTTGGGTTTGGAACATGCTTATCTGATTCCCTTCATGGTATGCAATGGGCAAAAAAGGCAAAAAAAAAAAAAAATAAGCAGGGAAGCAGCCACAGATCTATAGTGATAATCACTGGGTGGTGGGAGCATAAGGAAACTCGATTGATTTCCTTCTTTAATGTCTCTGTCACCCACCCTCCTCAAGCACTCAATTAGCTGGAACCCTCCCCATCCCCATGCTCTCTTAGTTTTCCAGAGTGAACATGTGTTGCCTTTTTTTTTTTTAAACTAAATGTCTATTTATTTATTTTGAGAGAGAGGGAGAGGGAGTGGGGGAGAGGCAGAGAGAGGGAGAATCCCAAGCGGGTTACTTGCTGTCAGCGCAGAGCCGGACACGGGGCTCGATCCCACGAGCAGTGAGATCATGACCTGAGCCAAATCAAGAGGTGGATGCTTCACTGACTGAGCTACCCAGGCGCCTCATGTGTTGCTTTTATACTAGAAGAAAAAGTGCATTTTTGAAGATAGAGAACAGGGAAGGCAGGGTTAAAAGACATGGGTTTGAATCCTACCTTTTCTCTAGTCAATGATCTTGAAAAGCCTCTGTTCTCTGGGTGCCCTTTACCCAGACTTTAATGTGAGGGGTTTAGATGAGATGCACCACAAGTTTCCTCCCATGGGCAGCATTCAGGGAGTCTCAGATCCTGAGGCGGACACCTCCAGATTTCCCTGGTGTTTTGAAATAGAAGATTCCTCAACAACTAAGAGAAGGACCTCTCTGTGTTGGCAGCCTGGTGTGGTTGCCTGTCTAATGCCTCCACATTAAGTGCCCAATTAGCTGGACACTGTCCATGGCTGTCACTCTCTAGTTATGTCTTTACATGCCCGATTAATTTTATGACTACAACTCACGCCCTGCATCCAGGAAACACATCCATCACCAGGCTGGGTACTTAAGGGGAGCTGTTGGTTGCTCAGTGAAGCCACCTGGCACATTCCATTTCCCAGGATGCTCCCAGACGTACCAGATAGGGTACATCTCTTCCTCTGGGCACCAGAGGACAATCCCTGGGGCTGGTAGGAAGGGGTTCCCAGCTTGGTCTGACCTTTCTATCCAAATGGATGCAGATGAGCTACTCATTCGTTCAATTATTTACGGAGCACCTGTGATGTGCCAAGTAGACAGTGAGGACCCAACAGGGAGCAAAACAGGGGAGTCCCTGTTTGCATGGAGCTGGCATGACGGAGAGGGACTCGGGCATTATTGAAATCATCACAAAATCATCCTAATCATGCTCATAGTAAAGTTCTCTGCAGGACAAGTATGGGCAGTGAGGAGAACGTGCAAGAGAGGGATGTGAACGGTCAGGAAGGGGCCTCGGAGGAAGTGACCATAGAGTTGAGACAGGAAGATGAAGAGGAACCGGTCCGGGAAAGAGGGGTGAGGAAAAGCACTAGGAAGAAGAGGAAAGCGCATGTGCAAAGTACTTGAGAAACCCTCAGTAGGGTCAGGGGGCTGGATGGTGGAAGATGAGGCTTGAAGGGCGGGCAGGGGGTGCTCCATGCTGGGTCTTGATAGAATACCACCCCAAAGCTTTAGGTAGAGGAGACTCGACCTCCCCCACTTTGACAACACACGGAGATAAGAATGGTGCCCATGAGAAGATCAGAGCAGTGAGAATTTCAGAGCTGCAGTGGGTCCGGGAAGAATGAGGCAGGTGGGTCCCCAGTCTTTGTCTACACATGGGGCTGGACCAGGTCTCTTGAAAGTACAAAATTGTCCCCAGTGGG